CAATCTGGTTATTTTCTCAATTAATTGACTTATTGTTTTGTTGACAGACTGTCACAAAATTGGCATTACAGTATTTCCACAGCCTAGGATAATGGGTGTCATTTTGTGTGATCAAAAGGGGAAAACCCAAATATATTCAGGTTACTTTTACAGGAAAAAAACAGGGAATACTCACATTTGAGAAGCTGGAGCAAGGGAAATTGTGTTGTTTTTGCTTTGAAATGAATTAAATGATTAACAGGTGAGCAGTAAGGGTTGCGTATAGATTTTCAGTTGATCAACTAATTGATTAATCTCATTTGTAGATCTGCCTGCCTCAGTCGCTGTCCAGATGCAGATGAGGAGCATGGGGTCAAAGGTCAGTAGGTCATACCCCCTGATCCTGAGCCACACACACACCCATACACACCCACATGATCAACACTTACAGAGAGTTACACCAACACTTTTCTCCTCCCATCACTCCTGTCCTGTGAGCCAGCCATCCGCCTGTTAAAGATTTTTCATAGAGTACAAAGCCAGTTAGGTACAGTTCCACCTCTTTCCAAATTTGAAAAGCAATGTTCCTATTTTCAATCACATTTTCTAGCGAAGAGACAAATTGTCTCCTTGGGCAACGAGGTGCAAATTATGTCTCTCCCCTGTAGTAGAAACTAGGAAGATTTGTCTTTCATCTGGCGGCAGGGTGGATTTTAATATGAATAAGCTTTGTGAACTGAAAAAAAAAAGTCACATAACCATATGAAACACCACCAGCTGGTCAGATCATCAGTGTTCTCCCTTCTCTCCTGTCTCATTACAGCTGATGAGCAGGAAACAAACTGCGTGCTGCGACAGGCAGTCACCCTGTGGTGCGCCTCTGTTCCAGGCAACAAAGGGGTCATGCTGCCCTCTTGTGTCTGGTTGGGACAAAAGAAGAAGAGATTTATGAGAAATCTTTACTTGATGTCACGTGGTTGTTGAAATATTTAGGAGTTACTGGGGTGAACTGCTGTAACTTGAGAGCTTTAAAGCAGGTGAAATTCTCAGTGAGTTCAAAGAAAATGTTCTCTCTTTTACACACACACACACACACACACACACTGTCTGTCTCTCTCTCTCAGAGCAGCCCTGCGGACAGGTTTATCCTGTGATGGTCATTCCTGTGCGCTCCACTGCATTCCTGCAGCGGGATAAGCTGCACCCCGTGCCAGGCTATGGCAGCATGTGACCGGCTTGTGATCCTGAGGTTTGCGCAGATGACCTTCTGCCCCGGGCTCGACTGTATTAGTCTGCCTACCAGAGGAGACAAAGCATATGAGGGGGAAAACTCACTTTCATTCACTATCTTACTCGTAGTCTCCACATATTGTACATTCTTGTATTGTGCGGATGATCGTCACGCTGCAACATGTGGTACAGATGATGAGGACACTGTGAAAGAGTCTGTTATATTGTTATAGAATGGGCTACTTGTGATAAAATGTTTCAGGAAGTATTCTGTAACTTTGTTATACATTTGTTACACGTATATTAAATATATTATATTGAATGATACAAATAGCATTTATAACAAATGCATTATCAAGGGCGTATGTTTCGTTTTAACCCTGGGGGGGGGGAAGACGACGACGACGACATCAAATTTCCTCCCCCAGGAAACACTTATTTTCCTGCCTGCTGTTGAATTTTTATGCACCAGTTTGTTCATTTTCTGCATCAATTTATGGTGGAAATGTATTTAATTTAGTGAAAATAAAATTCCTGTTCTACGTTTAGAAGGGCTTGGAGTTTGCATTTTCTCCCTGTGTACTCCGGCTTCCTCCCACAGTCCAAAGACATGCAGATTAGGTTAATTGGCGACTCTAAATTGGCCATAGGTGTGAATGTGAGTGTGACTGGTTGTCCATCTCTACGTGTACTTTAACATAGGCATGATACACACCCAGTTGCCGTTACAGTTTAACAGCGCTTGGCAGCGTCATGGGAAACGTGGGAGGACAAGGACATGAAGTAAAGGAGGTGAATGTCCAACTGGGGCAGGTGCGAGGAGTGGTGGATGGGTCCAGCAAACATCGACTTTCACTAGAGAGAGTGGTGTTCGTGTCCTGTAAGATTCTAAAGCCAAACCCTGTTCTTTTTTCCTAAACCCAACCACATGCTTTTGTTGACTAAACCTAACCGTGTGTTTGTTGTTGAAGGGGGAAAAAAAGTCAATTTGTGGTGTTGTACCGATGTAGTGTGTTAATTTTGAAAGCTTGTAAGCAGGTCAGAAGAGGACCCAAATGCAGACCAACTGACAGTCTAAAGTCCCATTTATACGACAACGATTTCAACTGAAAATGGTAAACTTTAGTTGCGTTTTGGCTGATCGTTTACACGACAGCGGTGTTTTGGGTGCCTGAAAATGCAACGTTAGAAACGGGTTCCGAGTGCAATTTTCTGGAAACAGCACCGTCTCCGTTGTCATGTAAACTTGCAATATGCGGTTCCTCTGAAAACAGAGAATTTTTGCACATGTGCATTAGGCATGCACGAGAAAGTCGACCATCATAACAATGGTGGACCCCCCGAGCTCTGTTTGTGCTGCTCACCCTATTGAATTTATCAACGCTTCTCCAGCAAAGTGTAGATTTACTGTAGCAACTTCACCTCGTTATGGAGTTTCATTGCGAAGTCACACCGCCAACTTCTGGCCTGGCATGTATACTGCAGCGTTTTTGGTCATTTTTGCGGATCCGTGTGCACAGCAATTGTTATCAAAATGTTGTTGTCTGACGCGGAACTTTTTTCAAAACAAAAATGAGAAATTATTCCATTTTCAGCGGATCATTTTCACGTAAACATGGCCTAAGTTTCTAACAAAAAGCAAGCTTTAATGTAGCCGATTGAAAATATCCAGTACAGGCAGGCAACTCAAAGTTCAAACAAAAGGAGAACTAAAAACCAAACTGAAACCCAACGGGCAAAACAAGATGAACTGGGGTGAGCACAGGAATAACGCAGGGATGAATGCAGGAACGACCACAGAATGCACCAAGGAGGAAACACAGATGAACTGACAAAGGGAAACACACAGATATATATACACAGAAAACTTATCACAAGAACGAGACACAGCTGGATTAGGTGGACACGGGCAAGAGGAGGAAAATTGAGACTGGCTAACAACAAGGGTGGAGCTAACAAGACTACAGAACAGGTGTGAATGGAAGACTCAGGGAGCAGGGAAGGACTAATGAGACAGGTGTGACAGGAAACAAAACACACAGAGACAGGAAGTAAAAGCAGACATGACACATGAGGAGAGAATCTACATAATAAAACAGGAAGCAGATTAAACATGAATGAATAACATGAAACAAGGAACACAAACAGAAAACTCCGAAACAAAGTCCATAGGATAACAGACTATAAACAAGAACCCAGGATCATGACAGACTGTATGTAAAAGTTAAATTTCCTGTGAAAACATAAATATATTTTGAAAGAAGACAATGTATGTAACAGGCAGAACTTGACACATGTCCCAGAACGTCAACAACTAATGCACCCAGGGTACATTGCACGTCATATGTGGATGTGGAAAGTCCATGACCAAACGTCAATATGTGACGTGGTCCGAGTGAGAATGTGCCCTGTGATAGTCTGGCGACCTTTCCACAGTGTACCCCGCCTCTTGCCCAGTGTCAGCTGGGATAGGCTTCAGCACCCCCAGGTTCACATGTTCACATGTCCCATGACGTGCCCCCTGCGCCGCCCCTGAAATCTACGCCTATGTACATTATTGCCATCATAATCAGTGTTGGGAAGATTACTTTGGAAATGTAACAGATTAAAAATAACTGTTTACCCAGTAAAAATGCCATGAGTGGCAATAAAGCTGAAAATGTTCAGATCTAGACTATGCCAAAAGAAGACATTCCTGCATGATGAAAAAGATGCAAAGCAACAGAATGTGTGTTTTGTTGTACATACACCAGTTACATGTAACTAGTTACATCCCAACATTGCCCACGATCAATGTGCTTTACAGTTACTAAGTACTTGTACTTTATTACTAAATGTTATACATGAGTAGTTTCATATTTTGTACTTGTATTTTCCTGTCAATACCTAACTTGTATTTTCACAATATGCCATTGCTACTTAAGCAAAAGTACTTGTTGGACCTGTGATTATCACCATATTCTAAAAATTATTAAATAAACTGATACTAATGTTGACACAGTTTGCATAATACCTTGGCAGCCTTGAAAAAGATCTGTGATTGTCTACTATGTGTTTGTGTGTGTTTACCAACACAGATGCACAGAGGAAACAATAGCCTGTATGCTGTGAACAAGGGCAGCGGCACCTTGGAGAAGCAAAACAATTGCTGCAATTTCCACCAGGAAAAAATCTCGTCTCACTCACACATTACTTGAAGGTCAAAAGTGATGAGCAGCAACATTCGTCAAAAAAAAAAAAAGCACTCAGCGGTTTACTTTTTCCTCTGAAGTGTGGAAATTAAAGGTTGTAACTTTCTCCTCAACACTGCAAAACGCCAGTGACATTAAATGTTTGTAGTGGTCTGCATGACATGACCTCCAGACCTCACGGTCACTGTGGCACAAGACCTGATTCTCATTAATATACTGTGTATTATCCATTTGCACCTTCTTAGCTTTTGTTTCTTGTATCTCACTTTTTCTGTTCCAACTGCATGTCTACTTCACACTTGAGCATGCATAAATTCCAGGCCCGCCTTTGCCAGGGGTAGGGGGCTGTGCACAAGACACACACTCAGACACATACACACACACACACACACACACACCACATTTTTTTCTGCCTGAGGTATATTGGAGCAGAGGTCGGCTGGTCTCAAGACAAAATGTAAGAGGAATCAGGAATATTATCCTGAGCATGTGATGGTGTGTGAGTACACGTGCTTGTGTGTGTGTGTGTGTGTGCGCCTTGACGAGTGCGTGACATCACAATAAGATCACAGACTTTGTCGGAGGGCAGCCCCTAAAACGGCTCAATGAGTAGGGAGAGAACAGGAGGCTGTTGGCTGGGTGCAAGAGAGAGGTGGAAGGAGGCTTGTTGGAGGGTTAGATGGTAGCAAGAAGTAGAGTAGCAAGTTTCAAAAAGCAGCAAGCTATAATTTTCTAAAGACAGTAATTGATTGATTACAGGCACCTGAAAAGTTTGTATTTTTACTCTTTAAGTCTAGAAGTCTTGTGTAGATCAAATTCGGCTGAATCCTGTCTTTATCTATCATATATTTATCGTTGAAGAAAGTCTCCAACAGTCAATCTGCTCCTCTGTGCTGCTTTTGGGTAACGTTTTCTACTGCAGTCTGTGAGGGCGTCAGGTGCCACTGAGTCCATCTTTTCAGCAGGAGCTCACATTCTCACTTTGGTTCAAACTGGAGCTGCTCTGACTTTTCATCATGAAGAACTTGTGTGTATCTGTAGTTCTGCTGCAGTTCATCGGGACTTGTTTATGCCAATTCCCTCGCCCATGTGCCAACTCAGAGGGACTAAGGACCAAAGAGTGTTGCCCGGTATGGGATGGTGACGGCTCAGCATGCGGCGCCCTGTCAGGGCGTGGTTTTTGCACTGAAGTGGAGGTCTCAGATGAGCCCCATGGGCCCCAGTACCCACACAGTGGAATTGATGACAGAGAGCGCTGGCCTTTAGCTTTCTTTAACCGGACGTGTCGCTGTGCTGGTAACTATGGAGGTTTTAACTGTGGCGAATGCAGGTTTGGTTACTGGGGTTCAAACTGTGCTGAATACAGGGAGTCAGTGCGCAGGAACATCCTGACCTTGTCACCTGCCGAGCAACAGAAGTTTATCTCTTATCTGAACCTGGCAAAAAACACCGTCAACCGTGACTATGTGATCTCCACAGCGACAAGAGCAGAGATGGGTGAAAATGGTGAGAACCCCATGTTCTCTGACATCAACACCTATGACCTGTTTGTCTGGATGCACTACTATGTGTCCCGGGATGCCTTTTTGGGAGGGCCAGGGAACGTATGGAGAGACATAGACTTTGCCCACGAATCTGCAGCATTCCTGCCGTGGCACCGAGTCTACCTGCTTCACTGGGAGAATGAGATAAGGAAGATGACAGGAGATTTTAACTTTACCATTCCATACTGGGACTGGAGGGATGCCCAGTCGTGTCAAGTGTGCACAGATGCTCTGATGGGCGGACGCAGCCCCCTCAATTCTAACCTCATCAGCCCTGCTTCAGTCTTCTCCTCATGGAAGGTAAGAGTATTTGATTGTCTCTTGGTGACTGAGTGTGTGTATCTGTGAGTGAAAACTGTGTGTTTAACTATGTGAAGATCTATGTGCAAATCTTTCTTTTCCATTATTACATTAGGAGATGGAAAGTTCCATTCCCCAAGAAAGAAACAAAGGCTTGTTTTATTTCCATTTCACTCTGCGGGTCCGTTGTTCTAAAGCTGGTTTAGCCTCTTAATCCAAATTAGAGATTTGGTTGGAAAAACACATTTTTTTTAAGAATTCATCCTCAAGTGACCCAGCCAACATAAAAGATCAGAGTGAAAATCCTACTTCAGAGGCTTTGTTTCCACATCCCCGAAAATGTATTCAAATCAAACTGACAAAAAATTTGCAGTACTTTGTATCCTGCACTTCATGTTGATGGATAGAGCTTCATGAAGGTCTTAAGACTCTTTAACCAGTAGCTCACTAAATGTGTGTGTGTGTGTGTGTGTGTGTGTGTGTGTAGGTGATCTGCACCCAGCCAGAGGAGTACAACAACCGAGAGGCATTGTGTAATGCCACCGGGGAGGGACCACTCTTGCGCAACCCCGGCAACCATGATCCCAACCGCGTGACGAGACTCCCCACAACAGCTGATGTGGACTTCGCTGTGGGCCTCCCAGAGTACGAGACAGAACCCATGGACCGATTCGCCAATATGAGCTTTAGAAACGTCATAGAGGGTAGGAGTGGCAGACACACACACACTCACTATTATTAATGCACGTCAATGCTTAACAATTGGACCTGAACCTAATCCATGGTCCAATCTGTTTAATCTAGTGAATGTGTTTTGGCTTGTTTGGTTCATACAGGGGTAGAAATACAATCATTTGTGTGTTTCTCACTTTCAAAGAGAGAAAGCACAACTACAGACATGCATCTTTCTCATCTCTTTAAAATAAAGGCGCTAACTCAAACCATAGGGTTTCTCGGCTTGTCCCAATAGAAGAACTCCTGCTAGAACCTTTATACCTAGAACCCAACATAAAGGATTATTGATAGAACTCTCTGTAAAAGGTTTCACCCAGAACCTGTCCACCTTCTAAGGCCCAGATTAGATTCCACCGAGCCCTCTGTTTCCATCCTCACAACGTGCTGGTGCTGGATGGTGGGTCGCTGAACATAACCAGTTCCATGCCGGTGGAAAAGGGATACCCTGGGCGTCATGAGGCTCTCAAAGGGCCAGGGATGATTTGGTCCAGTGCAAACCACAACAATCATATCCACAATCACATTTTAGGAGGTGGAGATTTCGTGAAATCCCTGCTACTACAGCCTTTATTATTTCAATGGTGCACTAGGGTGTTGAACTGAAATTGGAATACAAAATGTCAAGTACCAGGTATCTGTAAAAATAAATTTCAGCAGACAGTGTGGTATTGGTATAAAATGGTGGTTAAGATATTAACTGTGGCAGAACTCACGTAAAATGAACTGATTAAAGGGATTTCAGATACATGTACATTTAAAAATGGCATTTGAAACATGGACAAACTTTTGAATATCTGAGGCTGAGGATCTTTTAACACCCATCCTGTCAACAATCCTTGGAGAACTTTCTCTTACAGAAACGTTTCTTTGGATACAAAGGGTTATTATGCTTAGTGCCTCATGTGTTTGTAATTTTTTGTAGTAACTGCTTAATGTTAGATGGCAGATAGAGTAGCCGTCGGGGGCAGGCCTTCCTGTCTCTCCCTGCTTCACCTTATCTGATGCAGATTTTAGTACGTGTGCAACCACGTCCCTATCAGTTTTTCCTCACTGACTCTCCTGGCATGCCGGAAAAAAGAGTAAGAAACAGAAATGTGTTTAGTTGTCATTGGGGTTAGTTGTAACACTTTTTAAAAAGGTGTTGCAACCATCCCTACCCCTGTCAGCCAGTGGCTAGCGAGCAGTTACATAATTATAATTGCAACAGTATCAGTAATAATCAAAATATATACTTGGTCCAAAAATACTTTCATGCCTCAAAATCACTGTTTTCACTGTAAAATCTGCACACTTACTCACACAGCTATGAAAATTCAGGAATAAGGTGATCTTTCGACAGATGTATTACCTGACTCCTAGGTCATCCCTTTTTGGTGAAAGTGGAGCTGTTACAACCATCCTCTTGTTATAACCATATCCAGTCTCCCCTTCATGTTCTCACTTTCCTCCCCACCTGCAGGTTTCGCCAATCCATCGACAGGCATGGCAGTGCAAGGCCAGAGCACCATGCACAACGCCTTGCATCTCTTCATGAACGGCTCCATGTCCTCAGTGCAGGGCTCAGCCAACGACCCCATATTCCTGCTGCACCATGCTTTCATTGACAGGTACAATGATGCACACAACTCATTTACTAATGACATATAGAAAAGGGAGCGTACACTACAAAGTCACTTATTCATGTGGTCGATTGCAGTGAATAACCACATTTGTTGAACATGATGAACAAACTGGTTTTCCTCTTTTATCCTTCACTCCTGTTTACATCTTTGTTCCTTCCTTCTCTTCTCCAGCATCTTCGAGCGCTGGCTCAGAGCCCACCAGCCTCTCCGGACCAACTACCCACGTGCCAACGCCCCCATCGGCCACAATGACGGTTACTACATGGTGCCCTTCCTGCCTCTCTACAGAAACGGAGACTACTTCCTGTCCAGCAAGGCTATGGGATTTGAGTATGCCTACCTGTTGGACCCTGGTTAGTACAACAACAACAAACAAGTCCATTAAGCGTGTGTTTCTACAACTTTTCCTTAGTGTCAAACTGTCTCACACTGTGTATCTCCACTACAGGCCAGAGGTTTGTTCAGGAGTTCCTGACGCCCTACCTCCAGCAGGCCCAGGAGATCTGGCCGTGGCTCCTGGGAGCCGGGATCCTCGGGGCGCTGATCGCTGCAATCATCGCTGCACTGCTTATTGTTGCAAGAAGGAAGTGGAAGCGTAACCAGAGGAGGAAGAGGGCGTCGAGCTTCGGAGAGAGACAGCCATTACTGCACAGCAGCTCAGAGGAAGGTTCATCTTCATATCAGACGACTCTGTAACACACACAGGCACTGTACAAACAGCTTTATATTTTCATGAAACAAATTAATGAATCCTGGAACAAAACCTACATTTGTAATTGAATTCCCAGAATAAATCTATTTAAATTTCAAAAAGGTATCTAGCAGAGAGTTCTGTGTTGTCTTTGCCTCTGAGATATTCACTGCCAAGACTTTTGCACCTCAATACACTTGAGGTGGGAATGGAGATAGCACTTAAAAATGTCAGCAACATGTCTTTACAGAAACACTGTCAAGGGTTTAAAACAACTTTTAAATACTTTTTTATTCTTTAGGTTTGCGAGTTTTTCCAAATGTTTTCCATAGTTCAAAATTTTGTGGGTAGTGACAGTAGATATCTCAGAAAAAAAATGCTGTAGTTTCTAATCAGTAGAAGTGAATGGGAAATCTATTTTGGGATTTAGGTGAACTGACCCTTTACTGTGTGAGACAATTTGAATGGAGATTATAGATAAGGAGCAGGAACGCAACATCTGGAAGACACACAAAGCCATCAAGTGTTCATTAATACAATGCAACACGTCAAGAGTACAAATTAAAATTTAAAGATTTATACAGTACACCTCAGTCTATTCTTGTATTTGAACTGTGACGTGCGTCAGGTGATTATTTACACAAACTACTCAGCAGTCAACGACAGCATCTGTGTTTGGATCAGCAAAAAATGTAAAGTGATGTGGCTATTCTTTCCCCCATGGCAACTTATTTTTTACTTTCCTCGCTGCCTTGAAACACAGATGCATATTACATAATTTATTATTTTAATGTATGGCACTCTAACTGTGATTCTGTTTACAATAAACATACTGGACTGACTATAGCTTGAGAAAAAGTTAAACGTTAAGGAAGAATTTTTGATCCTCAAAATCAAGGCCAGGTCTGTTGCACTGTAGCTTTAGTGACTGCTCAGGTTGCAAGATCATATTTTTTGCCTTCTCATACTGAATAAATCAGTGTCAGAACTAAATTAAAGTCCTTTCTCCCAAATTACCTCTCTCCCTTCATTAATTAAAAATGCACTATCTAAGAATTTTTCTTGTGACTGAGATCCAGTCTACTTTTCTCTATGTAATTTGAACATCAAGACTCCTTAGAAAAAGCTTTCATGTACCTCTCTTAACGTGTATACAAATGTGTGGAATTTGGGGGGGACACAGGGAACACTTCCCCTCAAAATTTAGAACAACCCCCAATAAAAACATGGCAGTAGCTGAGGACTTTTTATTTTGACGAAATTAAAGACATTTCCACCACAAACTGGTGCAGAAAAGGCAAAAATTGACGCATATAAAAATTCACCAGAATGCAGGAAACTAAATGTTTGAAGCTAAAATTCCTGGGGGAGGATGCCTTGTCTGTGTAGATCAGAATGGCCGACCATTCACTGATTTTAAACAGTTCATATATCAGTGTCTTTCAGTGCGAAACAGTTGTATAGAAGTAAAATCACTTACCAAATCTCCAACACACTCTATTGTGTGTTAGCACTGGTGCTAAAGGATGACAGTATGATGACTGTGATGTGTATCATGACAACAAAGATGAATCATGAGTTTGTACATGCTGCATTAAAAACAAACTAAATCCCATTTTCAGTGTGATTTTTTTTAATCTGTCGGTTAAATAGGAATGTTGATTAAAAACACGTTACCTGAGACGATCACATCTTTTAAAGGAAATCTGAATGTGTAGAGAGAGTTAGCAGATAACAGGACAAAGTGTTAATGTTGCTAAACAGTCAAACTGCTGTTTGACAGTATAATATTGTTTCTTAAGTATTAGCTTGTGCCTATGAATTATATATGTGTTATATATACTATATATATGTATATTTAAATCGTGCCAGGATTAGAAAAAGTAAATATTTTCCCACTTATTATGTGCAGGTAATCGAAACATAATAAATAAAAAAATCTCTTTTATTTCAGACATTGCCTTGTTCTTATAAAAAGAGGACAATCCTGATAATAGACAAACACTTTAACATTTAAATATATTTAAATTATAAATGCTAAATAAATGGTTGCTAATCACAACGTGAGAGAAAACTGTTCTTTCAGTCACAAAATCAGAAATATCAAGATGTTGATTCTTTGCAGAAACCTGGTGTTTCCAGTTTTGGCATTAAAAAAAGCAGACTCTAAAACCTGACAAACTAAAATATAGTGTTAAACTTGCATATGATTTGTTAGAAATGCTTTCATTCATTTCCTTTATCAGTAACTTGACTTTCAGGAGATATGTAAAACATAATGACACCTAATTTGTTGAGAAACTGCCAAAGCCCTGCAGAAGTTTTTTCACATAAAATAACTTTAAAACATATAAATAAATTGGAAAAAATCTAACTAAGCATACTGGCTTGAGGTGTTGTGTAGGTTTGCTTAGTGTAAAGACAGATCTTTGATAAGCATACATGAACAGTTAACCAACAAATAAAAACTGAACCTAGAGTTTTCATTTAGGTTCCACTCTCCTCTGATGAGAGGAAATCACTGTGGATCTCATGATTGACAGTCTCACAGACAAATCAAATACTTTGAGACTGTTTTCAGCTCAGACACAGGAAGTGTTTGGTCTCTGATGAGGGACTCAAAACTAACATTTCCCTTCAGGCTGTCTACAAATCCTGCTTCCACACTTTTTGGTCTGTAGAGTGTGTTGGCTGCCAGGTTGATGTCAAGTAAAGGTTAAGTAAAGTCATTAAACTGACACTAAACTAGTTCTTGGTTACAACAGTTGATTTGCCCATGTGGTGCCAATTCATGGTTATATACAGTAGGATAACAGTTTCTTAAATGTGATGTTTCAGCCCTGATCCACTGAAAAATGAATTCCCTCTTGTGTAATATCATTATCTTGCTGTGTTTGTGGTCAGTGAATTGCAGGTTGTGTAAGCAAATTTTCTTCCTCACAATGGCAACCAGCATGAGAAATGATTTTACTTCACAGTAAGGATGTGTTAGGTAAAAGATGAAAACCAACAGCAACTTTAGAAACTCAGAGCACCATAAGACGAAAATCCGAGCAGTGGGCTGGTCCCTTCAGTTTCACAGATTTTTTTTTTAGAGCCGTCAGTTGGGGGTCGGGCTGGTCTAGAGAGAGAAACAGGCCTCATCTGCATGTTATGGTCTTGTCCTGCTGGGCCTTTTGTGAGCATGGGCGGGGATGCACATGAAATAATAATAATAGTCTGTGAATACTCAAGTTCTTTTGGCACATTTCATATATATCAAATGGCAAAGTTGCTGTGAGGTTGACCTCAAACTTTGGAACCAGCTCTAATGTTGGATCAGCTGAAGGACTCCTTGTTGAATTCAAATGTTGTTCCAGAATATCGGGCTGAGTTACACAGTCTGTGGAGAGTCCTGGAGATGCCCTTTGGTCCACAGCAGAAAACACCGACTCGCTTGCTGAAACCACAGTGAGAGAGAAAGACTTAACAAATGTAATAACACTGGAGTCATACTCCATCCCTGGACATTCCCACTCTACTCACTGCTTATTGGTCCTCCCGATCTCATCAAACAGTAACTTCCACCTGGGGCGACCGACCAGCAGCCTGGAGGTGAGTGGGCGATACCTCTCCTCAGACATACTCTGAAAAATGAGAACAACACAACAAAGCTGCAATGACTGATTTGTTGTGGCCATTTCAGAGCAGCTGAAAGAAGCGACACTCATATTATCTCTATTTAAATGTATACTATGCAAGAAATTCCTAAAAAACAAAGTATAGACTCATACAAAGGTAATCCCTCTCAATCATCACTTATGACCCACTAGAAGTGTTTGAATGCGTCTGCTGAGACTCAGGCCTGTGCCTGTATTTTCTTATGTTCTCCTTATTTTAATGGTCGTGTACTTCCACAGTGCTCAGGTGAGTTTGGGGCTTTATATAAAGTGTCTTTCAATTAAAAAACGTACATTTAAGGCCTCTGAGGGGCGAACGCGGAGAACTTTTCGGACACGTGTTCTGGGCAACAACACTAAACCAATGTCCAATTCATCAGGCTTCTTTGAGTGCGGCGACCCATTTATTTTCACATGTGCTCACCTTCACACAGGTAAAACATTGTCTGCCCATAACTTATCTTAGGCTGGTTTCCACAGTCAATCACAGGTTAGTGTCCATTCAGTAGTTCAGTGTCCAAGTTTCCATTCATCAATTCCAGTTTCAACACACCACAAACTCTTCATGCTGCTTCACTTAACACAGTTAAACTGTTTGCTTACCTCGTCACACAAATGCTGTTCATCACCTGCACCTCACCTGCATTTTCCCTGCTCTAGTGCGCCACCTCATGTACAACCAACAAAACTGCATCAAGGGTTGGCTTTTACTTTCAGATTAAAAACAGTAACCAACAATCCTGCAGAGTATACCTTTAACCTTGTTAGCAAATGAGCTCTACATCTACAGTTTAAAAGATCCAACTCTGATATGACAACAGTTCCTCCACCTCTCTCACCTCCCCCCTGCTAACCTACAAACTGCAGCAGCCTGTGCTCTCTAGTTTTAAGGGCCATTAGATGTTATCTGTAGTGCAAACAGCTGCGGGCAGTTATCGGCAAAGAAAAGCAAATTCTGGGACTGACGAGGTGGGATTAAGGAAAAGATAATGAGCTGCAAGGGTTGTTTGTGTACCAGCAGGGTGAGCTGCTGATCTATCGAACCTTGTCAGTTTAAAATTGAATGGTTTCAGATCAAAAGCTTTTCAGTTTGCCTTGAAGATCCATCAGCCACCAGGTAAAGTACACTAATCTGAGCCTCTTAACTTGCACTACTTTATATCCTTATATCTATAATCTCTTTTTATTTCTAATTGTGTGATTTTGTTATTAAATTATTATTGTTTTTTTTACATATATATTTAAATAATAACGAATACTCTTGCAAATGTTGCTTACTTGACATTAACTTCCTGCAAGTGCAAGTGATTATTTTATATATTGTGCAGGCCGGAGATGATGTGTTAAAGCAGAAGTTCCCAACTGGTGGGTCGCGGTCCAAAAGTGGGTCACAGGTCCATTCTGAATGGACCGCAAGTGACTCAGGAATGTGTCAAGTGCGTAAAAAAACACACTTCATTTGGAAGACAGTAAATCTCCGGCATAGAGCTTTTATTTTGAAGTGTTGTTTCCTGCTGTATAATGAGTGAATAACGGACAGCTGCTTAACAGAGACAGCAAACTAGCTTGAAGACCTAGCCAAATGCAAGCATGACGTTGAGTGTGGACCTTGAACTAATGACTGCAGAGAAATCTGGACCGCGTGGCTGGACCACTTTGGCACCACTGTGTTAAAGGACACAGGATGGTGTTGACAATGTCGTTTTACTCATTATTAACAGGCATCCAGGTTTATATTTAAAGCAGATTGTATTATTCATCTGCAAAATAACAGAAACAAATGAACATACGACATACAACTTTTTAGCCTGCTGGTTCAGTATGTGTTATGAGACTGAAAAACCAAGACACTAAATCTCAAGGCATTTCCAAAGGACATGGGTGTGAGACACAGGTCAGGAAAGTGTCCTGCATCGATCCTTTCTCACAGAGCAGCTCTGATACAGGTCAGGATCTGTCTGTAGAGGGGTAAGGCAACACCGACTAGTGTTCTCTGATTTTCTTCCTCTACCAGGGCTCATCAGAGATCAATACAGCTACGCGTTTGAGCACAGCATGAGCGGGAACACTCCCAAATCAGGAGCATGAAACAAAAACCTGGACAAATCCTCCCTGTAGAGTGTTTCACATAGTTCTCCCGCATTAGTCGCGCTTCCTGTGACAGGCCTCCGAGTCATGACAGACGGGTTTTATGGCTTCTTGTGAACTCAGTCATGGTGCAGCTTGCCTTTAGAAAAGTATACTCTCCCCGTCGGGGAATCGAACCCCGGTCTCCCGCGTGACAGGCGGGGATACTCACCACTATACTAACGAGGAGTTGTTCTCTAGAAGTCACATGATCACATAAATAGGAAATGAGCAACACAACAGTAGAACTTGTTGAAAGCCAAATCCAAAAACCTGTGTTGGTTTTTCGATTTGATCCACACATATGTCTAACATGTTCAAAAGATCATTAAAGGTTTGGCTTGATTTCAACACCTTGAATCAATAATTACATAACACTAAAGGAAATATCAGCAGCTTTTTGAAGTACGATCGAAAACATGCTTAAAACAATTGACAAAATCAGTGATATTGTTATTCTATGTATTGTTTTATTGCTGTATGTAGCCTTTTGGTTATTACATAAACTGAGATGAGTAAGCATTTTTGTCAACATGACCATTCATGGTCTCCAATGGATGTTTGCCACAGTAAGAAAAGGTGAAGAGAGTTCAGGTTTGAAACAAGTGGATTGCTTCAGAAGGGCTCACGCTGAAACAGTGTGACACAATAAATACGGTGTAGTTCAGAGAGAGAACAAACAGCAACAGACAAACAGTGAACTCAAGACGTCAATGTGCTGTAGCTTCACTCTCTGTCATATGCTGCCCTCTAGTGACTTAGGTGTGTAACAACTTCCAAACAATGGATCAGTGAGGAGATAAATGAGTGAGCAGACATAAAAAGCTAGACCGTGTGTGTGTGTGTGTGTGTGTGTGTGTGTTACACCTACCTGCAGGTTGTCTGTCTGACTGACGTACAGTCTCAGATTGAAGTAGTCTGGTCTGTTTTCCTGCCAAAGCTAGATGACAAACACAGACATGGACATCTCAGGATTTCACTGGTGCTGCATATATCTGGTTTAATTCAACAAAGTCACATTTAGGAAAAAGTGCAACATTTATTCCTTTGTGGGTCCTGATACCAAACTCAGAACTTTTTAGGGTACCAAATTACATCGGTACGACTGAGTATCTATTCACGTAAAATCAATCAGTGCCAAATTTCGGTACCTAAGAGCCAGTGGCGGCTGCTGGTCTTTCAAACAGGGGAAGCTCACTTTAAGTTTACATCATAAAATTTGTCATACTGTAGTGAGGCAGTAACTTATAAAAGGAACATTTAATTGAAACCATTTTTCAACCACACTCATGCCATAGAACTGTAGCAAAACACACCTCAAAGATTTTCAGATGGGTTTAACAGTGAAAATGAGCTATATGGCTTATGGAAATAAGGGACTCCGGACGGCACTCTGTCAGAAGACTCCACTCACAGATATCCGCATGGGACTGAGCTTGAAATGTGAAACGCTGTCAGTCACAAAGGGGTTCAGTCTTTTAGACAATTCCTCCAATCATCATGCGTACACTGAGTGTCCTCTCCCACCTTCCGCTGCTTTAGGTCCCAGGGAAGCTGAGCCTCCCTGGAAGTGATGATTTTGTCACATTTATCCAACGACCATCTGGCTTTGCTGCATGAAAAAAACCTGCTCAGCGCTGTCTCATAGGAACGCTTGGAGGCTCCACATCCACCGTGCTGACACGAGAATGTATGACAGGGAGGTCGTGTTTGAAAACTGGTGATAAACAGCTGATGTTTTAACATCACAGTCATGATGTGAAACGCATCCTAGCGCACATTTAATGCAATGCAAATTCTTATTTTAATGTAAATTCAATAGTGCATATTTGACCATTTCTTCTATGAAATTTTAAGGGAAGTTCAGCTTCCCTTGTTGTCTCAGAGCAATCGCCCCTGCTAAGAGCACACCTGGGTGAGAACACTGGGTTCAGAAAGGAGGCAGAAGCACTGTGAAGTGCCCGGCAGCTGGGAAGCCTGCCATGGAGCTCCTTCGGCTTCCCAGCAAGTCGAAAATTATCTGGTCTATTTTCTATTTTATTCAAAAATAAACTAGTGTCACTGCTATTTGCTATTGTGTTAAATTATGTCGTTTTTCCATATATTTATCTGTTGTGTCCAAACAGAGGGCAAGAGAGACAGACAGAGATGGTCTTTGTGTGATGAGAAAAGAGAAGAGGAGTAGAGTAGCTTGTTGACTGCAGCTTGTTCAAAAATCACACTTTTGGTGCCTGCAAAATTAGTGAAGCACAAAACAAGGTACCACTGGGTACTGATACTGGTTCAAACGTGAAGCCCATCTTAGACTTCCTTGAAATGGGAGAGGTAATATCACTTACAGCCACAAGATGGCGGTAAATACAATAAATACAATTAATGCTCTGCTGACTGTTTCAGTAGGCCTGTGGAGAAGTTTCCAAAAACAGTTGCAAAAAACAAATCATTGACAAGAAAAATGAAGTTTGAGTTGTACAGAGGGTGATATATGACCTAATGAGTGTTTTTATTTAATCATACCAAATTTCTGCACCATCTTTGTTTGACTGTAATCAGACTTTAAAAGCCCAGGTCCCTCAGTAACAACTCCCCTGTTGATCGGCACTCTTTTCCACTTAGCCTCTGACCTTCCACTTCCCCTTAAAACCCAGAAAAAGTTCACTGACCTGACTGAGCACAAAGACACACAGGAATGGAAAATTGCTAGCCACAGTAGCCTGTGGCAAGGTGAAGATCTTTGCCAGTAAACTGGCTTAAGTTATGGTAAAAGCAGGGGATGCACAGACATGTTTAGGGACAGTGGCTCCATTCAAAGTTGCAAAAAACTTCTTTCAGAAAGTGAATCTTCTGACCCAATGCTGACATTCAAGCACTGAAAAGCACTGGATGCTGGTCAAACAATTATCAAACTCTGATTTTGGACCACAGTTAAGTCCCACATGTTTTAATTAATATAACATGTAGACTATAGCACACAGACTGTGTCCTGACCTTGTGATGAAGTGCACACAGCAGCTCAGCAAACCAGTAGAAGGACTGGAGTTCCCTGCAGACCCACACAAAGTACAACCTCTGCAACCTGAAACCCGTCCAGCCGTCACTGGTATACAGCAGGGAGGAAGGGAGAAAGGAAAAAAAAAACATGCTAATGCTTGCTGAAATTGTTCATCATTTGTCAGTATGTGATGTTCGTTTGTTTTTTCATAACTCACAGCAGAGCATGCAGCACGCAGGCAAACGGCGTGACTCCTATTCCACCCGCGACACAAACGCTGACGTCGTAGTTAAACACTTCCTCTGATGGACTTCCAAAGGGCCCGTCCACGTAAAGCCTGAATATACAGTGTGGATAAAAGCACAAGAGACAATCAACAAAAGAACTGGACAAATACATACACCTATATTTATACTTTCCCCTCAGGGCCAAACACACACAAAAGTAGATAAACATCCTGCGTTTGAAATCCCACTGGCTGGGTGCAGCTAGTCTGATCCCCCAAACACACACACCCATCATCTCTACAACAGCTGCTTCAACACTTGTGTCATCGAAACACACACACAAACACAGATACATCTTTCTCTCACATACACACAGAAACAAAATCACCAAGCACAGTCAAACCCGAACATTTAAAGAAAGTACACCCAGATATGCTCGGACAACACTACACATGAAATTCAAAACTGAGCCCAGTAAATGGTTGGTAATGCTACAGCAGCCTTCACACACCCCAACACCCACCACACAGCCAGTTGAGGATTGGCTCAGTGTAACTGTCACATAATCACCAGCGCTGCACTCGGAAACACTTCCGATAAACTTTTATTCATGGCCAAAAACATGGTGTAAAAAGTCTATAACATCAGTGTGACAGCTTTGCGTTATCACAGAGCCATTTTTTCACTTTTCATGCAGCTTAGTAAGCAGTTTCTCTCTGTTTCCAGTCTTTGTGCTAAGCTAGGCTAAACATGTGTTTAACCTATTTCCTCACAGAAATGAAACTAGTATCAATATTGCAGATATTTCAAACATGTCTGACTGTTGAAATGAAAAAATAAAAGTATTTTAGGGTAGTTATGTGTTGAGTAATACCAGCTGTACTCATTCTACCCACCACTTTATTGGTGACATTAAAAAACTTGACGTCCTAAATAACACTGCTTTCACTGATTGTTTTGTTACATTAAACCTTATATTCAAAGAAACTAAATTATGTCAAGCAGCAACCTCCGGGGCTGAAAATGAAGCCAAAAACTGCAGTTCTTCTACTGGCCACTTGAGGCTGACTCCAGAAGCCACTTAGTCCCCACAGACACCCATGTTAACATGTTAACAAAGGGCAGGATGAGGGTTACGTTTTGATGATGTGTTATGCATGTGACCCACCGTGGGAGATTAAAAAAGTAGCTAGCAGCAGTTAGCAGCTAACTCAAAGACGAAGAACAGTGGCCGGAAATTCAGGAAACAATGACATCCTGAGGCTCCGGGCAGAGGATGACATCAGCCACCATATGACAGGGATGGTAAATGATTGTTATTGCCATGTTGTTTAGGAAATGCTGCCAACACACATGTCACTCTCAAAGCTGACGCCGTTATGTTTTACGTTATGCCTGCCACACCTCTTTTGCTTCTGGGATGCTTGTATGCTATCTAAAACCACACACTGGAGCTGCATGATGCTGCCTGTGTTTGGTTCTGTGTAAAAATGCAAAGGTGGCATAAAGAGGGGACTTCCTAGCGGCCATTTTAGCACAATCTCCGAGTCAGGTCCACCCCCTGCTCCTCCCCAGCTACGACCTCTTATCCAAATATGGTCACTTCTGGCTTCAAAAAACCAATATGACGATGGCCAAAATGCCGAACTCGATGCTTCAAAACAGGAGTCCACAAACCAGTGGGTGACGCCATGTGGCTACGTCAAATATTTTTATACAGTCTAAGAATTACAATGAATGAATTATTGGATAAATTGAATGTTCATGCACCTTCAAGTGTTACAGGCAGAATTTAATAAACAAAATATGCATGTCCACTAGTTGAACTGCACCAGTAAATGTAAATCAACCCAAACCCTTCAGACCATAAGTGGGCGCTGTTGTGCCCCTCAGCCCATTTAACAGACGGAGGGGAATAGGGCTGTCAACGAATATTCTAAATTCGAATTTAAATTCGAATTTGAAAAAAAAAGGACCTTCGAATGTGAAAACTGATATTCGATTGTGGAGAAAAAAAAACCCACCACTGCAGCTGTCCTCTTTGCGAGTGGGCGTTGGCCTGGGCCGCTGCACCGAACGCACTGCATAAGGCCACACCGCCCGCGGAGGTGCTGCGAAGCGCAGCGCACGAGCCGGAGCATTTCCGTTCACATCAGATGCGCATTTCTCCATGCTGGTCGACAAGCGGCTCTGCTCCCAGCTGTTGTCTCCGTCACCCGGCTTAACACATTCGCTCGCGCAGAAAATAGACCAGAGCCGGCCACGGAGCTGCGCGGCGCGGCGCAGCCGGTGTGGATGACACAATCGGTTAACATGGGCTCCGAAAGTTAACTGGCTTCGCTTCGAGGCGCTTCGAGGCTATTCGCAGTGCTTCCGCGAGCGGTGTGGCCTGACGGGTCAGAGAGGGGGGGGCGAGCGAGAGGTCCGCGGTCGTAATATAACGTAATGTTATAGATAATTGTTTTATGTGTTTTAATGTGTAGGTATGTAAATGTTTTCAAAGACGTTTATGTTGAACTAAAAATACCTACAAGTAGTTATGTTTCCTTGTATTAATACATATACAAGTATGTTTCCTTGTATTAGTTTGCCCTCTTGTGGACATAATGCGAAAAAAAAAAAAATTCGAATGGTTCGAACCTATGAGTTATTTTTAGAAGGAATATTCGAATGTCATTTTTGAGCAATTTTGACAGCCGTAGAGGGGAATAGGGGGTTTTGATGGTTTGTTTAGCTCTGGTTTACTGTCACAAAACAAACTCATCTCCCTTTCTATCTCTGCCTATCTGTCTCTCTCTCAGACACAGAGCAGGAAGAGCACAGGATCAGAGGTCAGGAGGTCAAAACCTCTGACCCTCTGTAATTCTAAGCCTTCATGAGAAATCATGTCAGCCACATCACACAAACACACACACACAGAAACATACTTGGGGTATCTCCTCTGTTGCACCATGGGAAGGATCTCCAAGTCTTTCCTCGGTTCAGGAAGTAACAGCTGTGTGAAGCGCTCTGGGGGGAGGAGAGGAGAGGTTTTGCATTTCTCATTATATTAACTGCTGATCTAACTCTCTAAGAATGAAAAGTATCATATAGATTCCCGAGCAAATGTTACTGTGTAAATATTGCCATATTTAGAGGTGTCTATACATTCCAGCTCAATGCTTTACAACCTTTCCTTAACAGCATGTGGTCATGGCAGATTAAGGGGCCAACACAAACAAACCCACTTCCCTTCCTGTGTTCTGAAAGCGTGTGTGCGTGGAAATGTACAGTAGCAAGTGGAAATGAGTGTACATGTTCTCGAATGTGTCACAGGCTCCCAAAGGACACAACTTCCTCTAGCAGTGAGTCCCTTTTGAGTCTGCTGCATACAAATTTCAACTGTTCAAATTAAAGTACAAGACAAAGGAAAGTAATTATCATTGACCTTTTCTTTTTTGTAAGTGCATGTAGTGTTTGAGTCTTTAACACAAACACAAGCTCTGAAAGTCAAAAACATCCTAAAGAGATCTACTGTTTGCCAGCTCTTTAGCTGAAATCCAACAAGCTTTGTAAATGTCACTTAAAGGTCCAGCGTGTAGGACTAAGGGGGATATAGTGGCAGAAATGGAATGTAACACATTAAGTATTTTATCTTTAGTGTATAATCGCCTGAAAATAAGAATCTTATTGTTGTAGTTACCTTAGAATGAGCTGTTTATATCTACATAGGGGGCGGATCCTCATCCACAGTGTCCAACATATTGCACTGCCATGTTTCTACAGTAGCCCAGAATGGGCAAATCAAACACTAGCACTGCACCCGACTCGAATCAGATTTGGCCATTTAATACGAATATTCCATGTTTCTTTTTTTTTTTATTCATATACAGTTTTAAAGTTTGAACAGGGCTCAGCAGGACGTTCAGTGTGACAGCAGCATTCATGTTACATAGTAAACAAGCTAACAGCGCTAATGAAGGAGCAGAAATGTGCAAAAACATTTTCTGCTGAAACTAGATATCAAATAAAAGCAAGACACTGTGTCGTATGAAGTATCTGTGAACTGTAAATTCACCACTTCTAAGCAGAAGAGAGAAGAAAATGTTATCTCGGAGCCGCAGTCAAGAGTTTCTCCTCCTCTGTGCTGCTGCATCACACACACACACAGCTGACTGTACCAAAGAGTAGCGTGAAAGTCAGGAGTACTCACTCTGCAGCAAAATCTGGGGACCAAAATGTCACTAGAAGTACACTGCACAGCACACTGACTAGCGAAGAAAATAAAAGCTTGATTTGAAGCAATCTCAGTTGACTGACTGATGATTCAAATCTTCATCTTTCAAGGAGCAGCCCTACTTAACACTGGCTCTAGATAGAGCCATTCGCATCTTTGCATCAGCCACTGTAAGTAGCCCTTCTGCAACGAGCAGCGTGGGAAGAACACATTTTTTAAAGTGAAACTGCTTTATTTGGTATTTTTCTAGTTTAAATCACGTGAACGTGACTACAGATGTCCCGATCCAATATTCGGATCGGTATCAGCCGCCGATATTAGCAAAAAACGTGCATCGGCATCAGATCGGACTGCATGGAAAAATGCAGATCCAAGAACTCCGATCCAGTTTTTCACGGAGTCCGATCCAGGTTTTCCGGCCAGCCCAGCGCTCCGCGATCCAAGCAGTCCATTCCAGTGATCTGCTCCAGCACTTACTATCAATCCACCAGGCCAGCATGCAGACGGCAGACACACACGGAGGGTAGGAAGAGTAGCGGTCAACTTAGTTAACTGACTATTTGTTTTCTGCTCTGGTTTTTTGAGAGTGATATTTTTATTTGGTTTACACTCTTACTGTTTAAGTAAAGAGCACTGATGGCATTGTTTTGGGCACAATTAGTGAAATTGGAGCCATGGATGGACTATTGCTTGTTTAAACAGCTGTACAATATTGTGTGCCTGTGCACCAGGCTGGCACTGACACTACTAAAATAACTGAAAAGGAAAGGCTGCATAGTTTGTTAAATGCCAACAATGTCTTGTGGTGTTAATCTATTTTTTATTTATTAGGGGGCCAGAGCACAAGTGTGTGGAGTCTTGCTGCTATTTTAATTTCAGTATTAGACATTTTAAAGATTTCTTGTGTTGATTTATTTTCTATTTATTAAGGGGCCAAAGCAGCCAAAGCAAACCAGCTATATTTTTTATTTAATGTTAATGTTCAAGTTTAAAGTTTGTTTATTTAACCCTGTTAACAATAAACAGGTCAGTTTCTCATACCAACTGTTGTGGATCATTCTAACTAACCCGATTAAGTAGTTGTTCTTGTTAGAGTAATATTGCAGACCAAACCTTTTCTAACACGACTGACAACAAAATAAGTGAATATGTATAATACGTGCTTGGATCGGATCAGTATCGGCCAAAACTCGAGGCTGTAATATCGGTATCGGATCGGAAGTGAAAAAGCTGGATCGGGACATCCCTAAACGTGACCTCTGTGGATAAAAAAGAATAAAGGCAAGCACACATTAGTGGGTGCTGGGCTAGTGGCCCGTCTCCAGTGAGTAAAACAATGCCGAAGAAACACTAATTTTTAACATGAAACTGCATTATTCAGTGTTTTTACCTGTTGTTATCACCTACTCTGTTTGTTTTGCAGAGGAAGAGACCTCTGCGGATAATACCTCCTGAATAATGAACACTGAAGGAATTATAAACTGGAGAAGTTTCCGCTGGTTGCAATCTGCAATCCTCACCACTAGATGCCACTAAATCCCTCTAAATCTTGCACACTGCTCCTTTAAATGTATATTGTGTGTGTGTGTCTGCACATACATTAGTGTGTCTGCACTAATGGTAAATACATTTTTCCAACCAGACAGTAAAACTGTGGGAACCCTGGAGACACAAATAGCAGGACAGCGTCAGGGAGGGACACTCACTCACATGAAACTGTAGTTTTCCGGACGTGCATCCTCCCCAAAGGGAGGAAACAAAACAAAGTGACCTCCATCCTGTCAACTGTGATAGGGAAGTGAAAATGTGTGTCTGTGTCTATGCTACGTGTTTGTCCTTTTATCTGTGTTTATCTGCATGTGTAAGTCTATGTATGTGTGTGTGTGTGTGTGTGTGTGCGTGTGTGGCATATACACTCACCAGTCCAGTCTCCCACGACTCGAAGATGGATGCCAAAAGTTTCCTTGTTCTCCGTGGGACACTGCAAGGAGTTAAAGAGCAGACAGTGAGTCACAACAAAACACACACACACACACACACACACACACACACACACAAGTACGCATACTCTCAGTTGTTGGAAAGCACAAGAAAAAACTAACATGCACGTGCAACTATCACAAAGACATGAATATGCACATACACACACATCCCAATGCACATCAACAGTGCATAGCTACAACTCTTTTCATCAAATTTAACAATACACACACACACACACACACACACACACACACACACGGACACACACAACACAGCCTTCCTGTTGGCAGACGTTTTAACTAGCCTCAGGGGTCTGTCTGCTCTCTGTCAGTGTGATTCTCTGCCCTCCTCCTCAAAACTCCATAACACACCAGGCATAGGCATGCACATACTGCAGTGTGTGTGTGTGTCTCTTTGTGAGTGTGTGTGTGAGTAAGTGTAAGTCCATTCCTGTATGCTGACTAAACAGAAAGCTGTTTGTTTGTCTTCTGCTTTTGTCTCATGCAATCTGGACTAAATCAGAAAACATCAACAAACAATGCCAAGCAGAATATAAGTGGACGACCCAGCTGTCATTCAAGTGTCATCCAGCAGCGGAGGAGGGCGGGATGTTGGGAGAGACAAAGAACTGCATGTTCCTCGCCAGGGGGAAGAAAGTTTAAGGAACTATAAAAACATATGTGTGTGTGTGTTTGCATTGTGTCATGAGTGAGGAATGTGTTGCATAAAGTCTTACCGTCGTGAGCGTGAAGGGATGGTTCTCAAATGAAGAGACACCTGGACAGTTAAGAACAATATACTGAGACGGAGAAGAGATGGGGAGACAGCAGGATGAGGGGAAGAAAGACAGGATTAGAGAATGTGGAGAGAAAACCAAGGTGGAAGCACAGAAGAAAGAATTAGATGAATCTTTTAACTTCAGACACAAACCAGAGTTACAGCGAAAGAATTTATATTGTCCTGTTCATGTCACATTTTCTCACCTGTCCCGGACGAGCCTTGAAGTTCTTCTTCAGCATGCGCAACTCAATGACATTACAGGGGTGCCTGATGACTGTCACTATGGTAACAGGGCTGCTGCTCCGGATGTAGCGGTAGAAACGTTCGGCACAGTAAAGGCAGAGAGGACCGGACACCCAAAGCCACGTCTATAAATACACAGAGACTTTCTACATTATCACGTTAACACTTAATCACCAGCAGTTTGATGTCATATTTGTTGCTCAGTTGGACGACGTCACCCTGTTCAGAGCTCTCCGCAGTTACATAGCTACGGTAACATGACCAATAAAACCTACAAACATAAACCCCAACTTGTAACTAATTGTAGTTTTCCTTCAAGGCTTTCTTGTTTTCTATATTTGGAAACAAATTAAAAAACTGTGTAGCTCCTTTTTAATTTCTGTCTTGATTGCATTAGTTAAATTAAGTTAAATCATAATCTTATTTAGATGTAACCGCCATCGATGACTTCGCAGCCATTTTGCTACCAGTTTACGCCCACATCTGTAGTTCTTAGGTTGCTCATGATTACAGTTTGTGCGATATGACAAGTGTGCAGCATCAGCCCTGACACAGGCAGCGTTGTATCAGCTGGTGTCTGTCAAGGCTTTCTAATTCTCCCAATTTGTTTCATGAAAAACACAGAGAGGCGCCAAATCAAACTCAACCAAAGAGAATACATGCATAAAGAGGCATGCGAAATCTCTGCAGCTTTCCATCACAGTGTGTGGCGTTTCTGTTTCTGTCTGTTGCCAGTTACCTGCGGCAGACTAATTGCTAACAACTCCAGTAAACCCTGCAGAGCACATTCGGGTTTAAGGGGGATTTTATGGAACCAGCTCGTTGCTTAACGACCATGTGCAAACACATAATCACACACGCAGGAAGAAAACACACACAAACACAAGCCTTGATGTAGAAAGAGGATGCCTGCCCCTCCCTCACAGCACTACACCTCTAATAAACGAGACCAACTCCCACCAACACCTCCCAAATACTGAACACACACGTCTTACACACCTTCTGCGTCAGACACACACTTGCAGGTACGAACACTTCCTTCAACATGCACACAAATAAATTGAAATGCAAAGATACATGTAATAGACACCACTAACATGTGCGCACACACACACACACACACACACACACACACACACACACACACACACACACACACACACACAGACCTGGGGGTAGTGTGGCTGGAAGTGAGCCTCCTCTTTACATCTCCTCTCTTCATCTTCACCCTGCTCCAGCTCCTCGCCCTGCTGCTCTGTGCTGCTCTGATTGGCTCTGAGGCAGCCAGGAGGGTGGGCCTCTATGTTCGTTTGATACTTCAGGGCTCCGCTGATGGGAAAGACGACATTTATTTACAAGAATGTTTACATTATTTAGGTGCATTTTGATCCCCTTTTACTTTCACATTCAGTCCTCCTGATATACTTAATACAGAACAATTCATGCAATCTACAAGTCAGTGATGATGTTTATATTATAAAACACTTTTAATGACACTATGCATTCAGACAATCACACTGTACAAAGGCATGCAGCTCATCGGGGGTATAAATCACAAGTTTCATCACAATACGACAGCATTATGATTCTTTGGACAATGCCATATTTTGCTGATATCGCAAAGTCTGCCAAGGGGCCTGAGATCAATACGAGACGATATCAGTAAGTACCCTCAATGTGTTTTTCTTGGCTGCTTACTATTGTCTCCTGGCACTAGGCCACAAGCACTGTTAAAATGTTTAGAAAGGAGGTATGCTTGGATGAAAATAGTGAAACAGATGTGCCATGGGAATTTTGAAATGAAGAACTATCTTAAAGTTGACACTATGTTTTCTTGTTTTCACTTTGCAAAGACGATATTCCCTATAAAAAGATTCTGCGTATGTGAGCAGAATCTGTAGGTGACAGGACAAGTTTTGGGACTGGAAGTGTTCTGGTTTCTGTTTGTGGCCCAAGTGGTACTGTTCGATCACATGTAAGCAGCACGTAAAGAGTCCATGTGGAGAGGCAGAATGCATCGGACAAAATGCAATCTCAGAACCCCTCAGCTAAGTCTGATGATGATTTAGCTGTATGTTACCTTTTTTTAAAAAAGAAAATCTGCATTCATGTGCTGTAATTGGTTTATAGAAATTGGATAAGATGACCAGCACATGCAAGAACAAGTGTTGGCCCCGATATCTGTTGGCTATAGCCATTAGTATAGCTACAAGCTGTTGGTTAATAAAACATATTAAATTTAACCCAACAAAACACTGCAAAGAAAGACCAGGCCTCAACTTTTTCCAGCACTTCAATGACACGCTGAAGCATCAACCAATCATATGTTTTTGTTTCTAGCTGTGACACTGCGTTATTAAGCTTAGTTAGCTGATGCTATGCTAGCTTTGGGATGAAGTGGAGTGGCGAAATGATACGTTAAAATGGGGCTCCGACATTGATCAAAAACATATAATTTCTGACAAAATACAAACATTCACTAGAGGTGCTTTGTGGCAAGTAGCAGACACACTTGGCAATAACGTAGCTGGTCACACTGTTGCATTGTTGCTCATAGTGTGAACACAGCATGGGTAAGTAAATAAATTCCTATAGCCTGATTTCACCTGAAAAAACTTGACTTTCATTTTGTCAGAACAAGAATGACACTTTGTGTTGATGTGATATTTCATTTTAAATAAGTCTTTTTTAATAAAGTCAATGCATGGTTTCTTGAAAAGCAGAGAGGAGAATTGCCATGTCAGTAAGTCTGGAGCTGCTGACGGCAGCTTAGAGATGTCTCCAGCTGTCAGCGGGAGTCTCCAATATTTGCTGACATTCACATGTGAAGCAAACTCTTATCTTGTCTTGTGGAGGTTGTGGTTGAGAGGGAGAGAAACTGTACCAACAGCAGAGAAAAACTCACCAACTCATGCAGAGATAAACCCACATACATAGACACACATATAGATAATGTGCTGCCATCAGACCTACCCAACCATGTGCACCATGAGGATGACGTAGAAGACAATGAAGAGGTTGTGAGTGTACCAGAAGATCTCATAGTTGGACAACCTTGGAAAAAAAGGCAAGATAACAACATATATGATTATTTTTAAAGAAACTCTTACTTCAAAGTCACACCAATTATGTTTTAAAAGACAGATAACCAAAAAGAGATGTAAATGAGGAATTATAACACTGTAACATGATAGAGGGAAACAAGAGAGCAAGAGACACAAAAAGAGCAGAGACAACAAAAGAAGAAAGCGAGGTCAGAGTTTGTTCAGGACCAGACGCACAGACTCCCAGCTGAGAGCCTGAGTAAGCAGGACATCAGAGGTCAGTATTAGAGGGGTCATTACACACAACGACCCCCCCCATAAACACTGCAAACACTGAACATCATCAAACCCTGTATTCATCCTCTTTTACTCCAACTTCTTTCATGTTAGTTTTCATAAAATATACTCTGTTTCTGTACAGCTTGGTCATTTTAAATCAAAATGTATGTGTTTACCCCTGGTAGGTGGTCTAAACCAATCGTCAGCTGAAAACAATAATAACCCAAAGCTGAATTACAAAATATACAAAATGTTACAACATGTGAGGGGAAAATGTGTATAACATTGAACAATTTGTTTACCTGTACAACTATATTTCCAATTAAACTTTTTCTCTTCTCAGTAGTGTGCTTCAACAATGGTATCTATTTCTATCTCCTATTTTGGCTGTACAAGAGAGACATTTTAATATATTATCAGTATTCATATAATCCAATTTATAACATAAATTTAAGGCCACATCGATCTTGGCTCACACAGTTTTTCAGTGTTTTGGAAAGACAGGACTGGGGATGGGAATTGAGAACTGGTTCCAAATCGTACAATCAATCAGTATCATTTGCCTCGAAGCCTATTAGTTCTGGTTTTCAAAGGCCAGGTGTTCTTCTGACAGTTGTATATTGCAAAACAATGGCGTCAAACTCATGCATCTACACTGCTGGAAAGAAGGAGTCATGGTGGATAGGAGAGAGTGGCGTCATTTCGCAAAGAAAGATGACAGCTATGCTTCTTGTGATGTCTGTACAATGATGGTTTCAATTAAGGATGGAAATAGCAACAATATGCTTAAAACATCTCTCTATATGGGCTTTAAGTCCAGGAGTAGCCTGTATTTGACACTCTACATACGAGTGCTACTGCTTCCAACAGAGCAGCAGCCTTTGAGGTTGAAAAGACAAAAGCCCCTTTTACACTGCCAGATTTTCCGCAAATGTTGGGCCGATTTGCCGGCAAGCTGCGAGTGTTTAGACACACAGAGCCGGATTGGCGAGTTGATCCAAGGTGCCCATTTTTCTGCCGCGTAGGGTAGTCATATTGGCAGAACCCTTTCAGTTTAAACAGTCTGAGGCAGCCTTCTGCAACGGGAGGGGCTGTTGAAGACTTGTGGGAGGAGCTGTTGATGACGCCACACGTGTGAGCCACTGACGGTGGATAAACAGGAAACAGCTGATAGCAGGAATGAGCAGCTAGTAGCAAGAGGGAAATGCAAACCTGACAGACACTGTAAAGATGAGCAACTGAGGAGACAAGGAATTGCGCGCCCTCCTTGCCCTCGCAAACGAAGAGGTCATTAACGGGAACGGTGAAGAACAGGCTGACTTAAGAGAGAATCGCCGTAGGACTGATCAGCCGCGGCTTCCCTCACACGTCACTATTTACGTCACACGCTGAGCTACACATTTTGTCTTGCTCACGCCCCCCATTGCCCCGAAAAAGGCACATTCTGTATAAACAAAAGTAGGTAGGCGGCATTTTGTCGCACTCTCCGATTTTGTTTTTATACTGCCAATGCTGAAAAAAGACTGATTGGGCTTTCCTGCAAATTCCTATCTAAAAAGGGCTAATGTGCCAAAAACTGCAGTTCTTTGAACGGCCACTTGAGGCTCGCTCAATATTTCACAGCTCATATTTCAGGCTGTGAAATATTAATGTTCACAGCCTGGTACAAAGAACGGCTTTGGACTCTAAAGCTGATTTTTCTGTTCAGAAAAACTGAACGGGGATGACTTTTTATATAAATCACCTGTTTACATTTTATTAAGGCTTATGCTCAACCAAGGACAGGCTGCTTTGACTGACAGGCTGTCTGCCAATAGTGTCCTCAGCCTTTTAGTTAGATCCACCCCTCGCCCCTCAACAGCACCAGCCTCTCGCCCCAAAAATGCTCTCTTCTGGCACCAAAAAAACAACATGGTAGTGGTCAAAATGCAAACTGAACAGAACAGGAGTCCACAAACCAATGGGTGACATCCCGGTAGCTGCGTCCATTATTTTTACAGTCTATGTTACCAACCAAGCAGCACGTCTGTTAAAGAGGGTAAATATCCTGTGATATAATATCATAAGTGCCACAACACAAGCACATACATTTTACAGTAATAATCCCAGGCCAGAGACCTTTGGTTGATTATCTTTTGCTTACACTGACAAACTGGAATGATGTTCTTTCTCCTGCCTTTGTTTTCAGATTAGCTTATTAACTACCGATTTCTGCTTCCATGGACAAAGCATCTAAAAATTCCTAAGAAGTATGTAATTAGCAATGTTGTTTAAAGGTGAAAATGAAGATGCAAAGTGTTGTAATTAACAGAGCATGTTCATAACCTTAGGAGCATTAATGTGTGTTAATATCACTGGATCATTGTGACTCATTATGTAGGTATTCTTCTGGTAAGTGGCAGCCCTCATCCCACCGCTCCAGCCACTTACCCAAACTCTTATCTAAAGCCTTAAGTGGTCTGGAAAAGCCTCTTATCCTCTGTTCAATTACTGAGCAAGGCAAGGACAGCACATGCACACACACACTCCAAGTCTCACACACCTGCACACACATGCAGAGTGGGTGACCCGCTATGACCCAAGTAATGACAGAGCTGTGAGTGGAACACTTGAGTGAGGATTTGCTCTGTAACAGACCCCTGCTAGCGTCTCTCCTTATGTTTTCCATCTTGTATTTCTCTCTCTTAAACACACACAGGCTACACTCAGACAAAAACAGCAACAGACATGACACAAAGAGATACACATAGAGGCAGAGACACATAAACACAAAATCCAGGGTTGTATTGAGACAACTGGATGCCACATTCCAATATGGCTCCTGTTCATTTCAAGGAAAGTGTCTCACAGCGAACAAACCTTTTAGGTTTTCTCTCACACATGCACAGCCCACAGATATTATTGCTTTGACTCTACAACATAAGAAGTGATTTTCTAGGCTTTGGGAAACTTTGGTTGACCTACCGTACGCAGTGGGAGGAGGAAGTGAACATCAGGAAAAGGATGAGAACCAACAGAACGCCTGTGACTCCTGGGACTGGAGATAATCAGCAAATTAAAAAGTGAAGACAAAGTTGACATCCCAGGATACATACATGTAAGACTCATGTAAGTGGAGATATCTGCTCACTATGATACTCTCACATAATTAAATAGTATGCAAGCCCTATTTTTTCTCTGAGGTCATATTTTACCCACTAAAACACCAAAAATACAGAGAACAGAAAGAGAGGACGAAACACAGCATGACTTCTTCCTCTCCTCTTGGCATAAAGCCACTCTAATCTGCAACACATTCACCACATTTCATTGCTATACAAGTCAAAAATGTACCAGCATACACACATCTCTGGTCTACATGCAATACTGTATTAGAAAGAGTAGTTCTTCTTACTTGTGGTCAAAATGATCAGCTTGGGGTCCTGGAAAGGAAACGCAAAACTTGTCAAAAATAAAATTGTCAACTTCCTGCACTTGCTTGGCCAGGTGTGCAGAGGTGAGGTGCAGGATTGATACCTCCCGCTTGGGCTTTTGTTGAACCCTTCAAAAACTACTTTTGTAGACACCATTAAAGACTTTGGGGAGACTGACCAGAGTATGTTAATATTAACTGGTTAACCGCTGAATTATTTTACTGCACTGTGCACTACCCACATCTGGTGGGAGCCAGCCATCAGAGCCACTCATTCGGTGATTAACACTAATAAAGCCGTCCTGACCCAACAGGGTTACGATGCAGCTCCACTATAAACGACCAGAAATCTCGCTCCCATTCATTGTGTATTGGTAGAGACAGTTTCACTGCACAAAATATGCTGGGATACCTGTGATGTGGACTCAGCTGGCTGTATGATGAGCCAATTAAGCTGCGGCAAAAAGGTTGCCCTGGTGAGTAAGCAGATCAATTTTGTGCAGCAAACCCCGATGCCGATACAGATTTTTTTCCATCACCCTTAGCCGATGACCGATTATGGACTGCCGATTTTCTTGAGCCGATATTTGGGGCCGATACTGCTTTTGCTCCCTCAGTTTACATCAAAAAAATGACACAATGATAACAAATATTACAGGTCTCAAGTTTAAAATAAGAAACATTTATTGAACAGTAAAAAATACTAAAACAAGATGGAAAGTTGAGGTAGAACAGGTAGAATATTATTATTATTATTATACATTCAAATAAAAAAAAGAGTCCAGTGCTCTTAAATCTTCCAGTAATGTCTTTATAAAATAAACAAATATTTAAGCTGAAGCATGAATAAAACAACAACTACTGTACACAGTAGGATTCGCTACATGTGCGCTGCAGGGTCTTCCGGCAACACAGAGCTGCCCGTGGATGCCTGTCTGTAAATCATGCCAGAGAAAAATAAATCCGCGAACCCACGCGCGTATCGGCCGATGCCGTTACAAGTAAAAAACTCAAATATCGGCCCGATATATCGGCCGGCCAATGTATCAGTCTATCCTTAGTCATCACAATTAGCAGTGCCTAAATGAAGACACTTTCTCAATGGGGCTAAGTGGGGTGAAACCTGAGGGTGGCTACCATGTTTTTAGATCAACGCTGTCCCACCACCCGAACAGCGTTACCAGCAGTAATTGCCGAATGAGCAGCGCCGCTAGCTAGCTCCCACCTGACCCAGGTAGTGAACCATGCAGAGCAGCCTAGGCAAACATTAGATTGGAGACTGTACAGTGTGCACTGTATTTCCGCATGTTAACGCAGCTAGCTGGTTGGCTGTCAACAGAGCCAACAAAAAATTAAAAAGGGCAAGACATGTACATCACAAAACATTAAAATTTCACCTAAATCTAAATGGAGACAGAATTCCTCTTTTATTTAATGTCATTTTGTGTTTTTTTTTCTTACAATTACCTGATTAGTTACCGGTAACATACAATTAACCAGAGCTGACACATTCCTAGTTCAGACATCCTTAAGGTCAAGGTAAGATTTGGGGTTAGACATGTCGTTGTGGTGGTTATGAATAGGGGTCATGGAATGCATCAAATCAGTGAGGGCCCTCATGAGTATAAAGTGTAAAATGTGCATGCGTTTGTGTCTCACCTCTCCTCTGTAGCGAGCCAAATTGAGAGCAGGAAAGTCGTCCGAGTAGCTCACGCTGAAGTTGACGACATTCACCAGGTGGGCAGACACGTGTACAACTGCAGGAGGAAGAGAAAGGGTTACGCGATGCTGATTTATAACACATTTTTGTGCACACACATCAGCAGACATGCAGAACAGCCCCTCTGCTTCAAACACACGCACACACGTAATTATAAAGGTCAAAATGAACTCCTAGTGGACACTCGTACAAACATCTCTTTGTCTATTCAGCAGAAAATCAGCAAAACATCCTCCTGACTCACCAGCACACACACTCACACGCACTCACACACACACCTCCCTGACATCATGGGCTAACCATGCAGCCGTTCGACAGCTGATGGAATTAGAGGGCGTAATCATGAGACACAAGGGTCCTTTTTTCTCACTCACATCCTTTCTCACTCCCACTGCTTCCCACCCCCTCTCTTTCTCTCTTTCTTCTCTCACTCTCTGTCTCTGTCCCATCCCTGCTGTCTCTCTGTCTTCATTGTCATCTGTTGTCTCAGAACTGTGGAACGCCGCTATTAGAACATGAGAGCTTTGCCCCAAGAGAAGAGGGAAGATGTTGATGATTTGAGGAGTGAAAGGCAATGATGAAAGAGGACTTAAGCTTACAGATGATGTAATAGTTCAGAACAGATGACAGAATGTTATATTGGCTCAAGGGACGGTCGATCCTACCGACTAAATGTCTCAGCGGCTAGGGTTTGCCATGATTTTTTTGCAACTACTAGATGGACTGCACAGAGGATGAATCCTGGGTGGACTGGGGCAAAATTTTCATCTCACACCATCAGCAGGTCATAATTTTCAAATGTTAACTGATACGGTAAACATGGTAAACATCATAACTGCTTAACACCAGCATGTTAACACTGTCATTGTTAGCATCTTAGCACACTGATGCATTTAGCCTCACAGAGCAACTAGCATGGTTGTAGCGTGGATTAATAGACTTGGTGTCGTTTCTTTGTATCTGTTTTTAATAATCCACCTCACTATATTTGTTTTCTGTTTGTTTTGGGGGGCACTCCTCTGAATTTACATGCCAAAGTCAGTTTCCTAGTAAGGCTGACTCAATTCTACAACATCATCTGTGGTTCTGGAGCAGCTTTGTCAACTCTAACTTTAGAACATAAAGGGCCCTCTCTCACAACCCGTGCAAAGCACAACTGTCACTGCTAGTTTCAGACCAATGCTGCTGTCATCTGTGTGGTCAGCACACAGGTTGTGCAAGTAGCAAATGTACATGGGTTTGTACGTCTTAAAATGAGGCCTTATCAGGTGCACTGTTGGCACATTACTATTCTGAGACAGCAGAAAGCAACTGACCAACAAAAACCTGGTCTAGAGTCAACGGTGCAGTATTTTCCTGCTATTTAAAGGGCGCATTACTCGGATAGCAAGATGCGTATACATCAGCGGGTTTTGCAACACGCTTACACGCTGCTTGTTAAACACACAGGGGTGAGAAGATGGGATGAGCATGAGTAAAATACCAGACCAATAATGAACAAAATATTAATTACATCTTCTAAAATGTGAACAAAGCAGAGAGCAGAGCAGAGCTGCTGTCAAGACTGCATTACAAGAGATGCTGTTTGCATTTATGCACGAGGAGGAGCGTTACTTCGCTGACTTTTTCAAAGGTCAAAGTTAAGATCTGTTTTCTTGGTCAAGTTTACAACTACAGGTTTTAGTTTTGCTGTTTAAATGTCCCACTGAATTTGCTGCCGTGACATAACTGCTCTTACTGCATTACCCTCAGTAGAAACCACTCTTATCTGCAAAACCCACTGGCGACACACCTGCTTTTTTAAAGGTTTGGGAGATGACAGTCTTATTTGTTGAATTCATGTTACACCCAAAACATACTTATGATTGTTTAAGAGACTACATATAACACCTTTGCTCCTTGTATCTAACTTTGCGCCCAGTTTATGTGCCGTCAAAAGTGGAGTTGAAAACGTCCTAAATGCACTCGCGCCATGCACTTTAGACCAGTGCCCAAAGCCTGTATTACAAAGACATAGGTATTTACAATGCAGATAGCATATAATAATTGATAATCGATTGAGCTGCATTATGGGAAGTGTAGGATCTAGTGTTTCTGATGTTCAACACACACAAACGAAAGAGCAAATCTTGGGCTGTGCTGCTTTGATGTTTACCATGCCTTTACAGTCTGTCTCTTTTGATTTCCCAATTTTCTGGTAGTAAATACTTGCTAAAGAATTCATCTATCTAATGGAGCAGAAATGCTTGAAGTCGGGAGGTATTTATAGACTGTTTGTAGACAACAACGTCTCTACAGGCTTCGGTGAGTGTTTCATTCCAACACTCATCAGCCACTGTGACGACTGGATCACTGCGAGGAAAAGCACACAGCATGTAGATATGTGTAGGTGGCGAGCGCTGACTTAGGTTTTCTTTTTCGTGAGAAAAAGATAGTCATGTGTCACTGTACGGACATGAAGCCAGATCTCCAAAAAACCATGAATGAATAAGAGGAAAAAGCCTGTGAAGCAGAGACCCAGAGGACGCACAGCTGCAAGAAGCTCCCATGATGTCATGAGAGGAGACTCACAAGAGCAACAACTCACACACACACACACACACACACACACACACACACAACTAGACAGCACACATGACCAGCTGGAGGGACATCACAGCTGGTACGCCAGGAATGCTTAGCTAGCCTCGGTCCATTTATCTACACTTCACACACACATACTCACACAAACACACACACACACACACACACACACACACACACACACACACAGGGATACATGAAGACATGTGAGCTGTGGTGGTAAGTGAGTTTTACCAGAAAAGATGCAGATGGCTACTCCACATGCCACATGAAAAGTCTTGCTCTTGTCCAGCAGTCTGCGAGTCTCTCTGCTGGATACCTGCATGAGCACGTGTGTTGGAACACAGACAGTAGTATTATCTTTGTGGCCGGGATTCAAGGGAAATTCATTTTCAACGTATCCTTTTCCCTTCCCTATGTGTGGAATTTATCTTAAACAGTAATGCACTGAAATTCAAAATATTTTCTTGCATTTTCTTGCACTTAAAAATCTCTTAAATATACCTCATGGAAAACACTGCATTTAAGCAGTTCATTTCCAGCAGAGTAGGTTTACGTAAAAACTACTAACAAGAACATCATCACAGATTTTTGAATAAACTCCACATTTCATGTGTGTATGTTCCCAAAATATCCTGCAACTTCACGTTTCAAAGTGACATATAAGCAAAAACTCTCTGCATATTCCCAACTCAATACACCATTTCTTCCCCTCCCTCTATCTTTGCTTTCTCCCTCTTTCCTCTCCTCAACCCCCTCAGTCTCTTTCTCACCTTGTGTGTTCCTCGGAAGAAGGTGAGCAGGGAGCGACACATGGGCAACAGCACCAAGCTGCAGTTCAGATTCAGCACAGACGCAGACGCCCTGCTGATGCACAGCCCTAGCTGGGAAAGACACACACACAAACACACACATTGTTAGGCGGGTTGCTGAAATGGGGCTGGATACAGCGGATGTAAAGTAATAAGGGGCCCTGTGGATTAGGATGAACATTTTTGAGCTGCTCCCATTCAGATTTTGGGCTATTAAGTGTGCACACTGAGGGCTTGAGGCATGACTTCCCCGCCACACAGGGTTATTTAAAACCATCTTTGTCCTTCTCAGTATGGGGAGCTAATAACTGCTCTGCTTTAGGCATCTCTCTGCTGGAGCTTTGCCTTTAAATAGAACACTAATTTGGTTTTGTCGGGATGATGACAGACAGACTTCTTTGTAATTGTCTAAAAGAGAATTTACCATATCCGTTAAAAAATCTAAAATGACTGAGGTTAATTTATTTGAAATGATAATAACAACAACATTGTATCCTTCAGTAAGTAAGTTGTATATTAAAAAAATAGTTTACATTACAGCTGCCTACACAACCAACTCTCCAGTTGCACTGTTGAATGCAAATAAACTGTGTGCCAGTGTTGCAAGATAGGTCTTGGTCTTGAGACCCTCTCAAGACCATTTTTTTGAAGGTCTCAGTCTCGTCTTGGACTTGATCCAATTTTGATTGGGTTGGTCTCGGTATCAGACAAAAATGATACTGGATTTCACTTTAAGACCGGTCAAGATGACAACTGCAACGATACAACTAAATTGCCTGTGCAAAAAGGAGTGTTGAATCAAGGTGGTTAAGTCAACTTTAAGTCCTTAGTGTCGGCAAATCAGTTCTTTTATAAAGACATTTCTCATGGCACTCTTGCACATACCAGCCATGGATACAGTATGCATGCAAAGAGATGCATAAAGAGGAATCATCATTTGTTCTCTGTCTGTGTTTTTATGTTTTTAATGAGGATTTTTCAGATTCATTTGAGGAGTGCCCATGGTTTGCATGTTCCACATTTTATCATAGTGTGTCATGCAGTGTGGGACTCGCACCGGTCTGGTCTTGGTCTTGTCTCAGTCTTGATACGCTCTGGTCTTGGTCATGACTTGGCATCAGTTTAGGTGGTGTTGGTCATGACTTGGAATCAGTTTAGGTGGTACAACACTGCTGTTTGCAAAGAAATAAATATGAATGTATGAGTAATTTTGTGTTTTCCAATAAAGCAGGGTTTTTCAAAGTCTGACACTGTGGGCCTCCTCTCCGACGCAAATTTAAAATTGCTGGTCTCAAATGTTCACGTTTTCAACGCAGGGCAAATACAGGGCACAACTGATGTATGCCATTTTAGGGGTTTCTTTGTGTAATGTACCCTTGGATGTGCAGACATCTATCATTGAACTACAATTTGCTCTGCCTCACTAAGAAATCTGGGCAATTTGGCAAGCCAACTTTCATTGAGCAGTTGCATCTGCCACTCAGTCAAGTCGCTTTGCACCATATAACATCATGAGATCAGGGCTTATCTGATCGAGTATGCAGCTTAACTCCTTGCACAGTCACTGGTCACCTCTCGCCTTCACCACTGTAACGTCTTCTGGCAGGGCTGCCAGTGTGCACAGTAAAACTTCTGCAAATGGTCCAAACTACGACCAAACATCAGGTCTTTAACCAGCCAAAAATCCACCTCTTCTGACAGTACGTTCTCACCTAATATGCTCTTTGTCTCTCTCTCTACATCTCAAACATTGTCTAGTTTTTTCTAAAACAACGTAATTTGCTCGGCACTTATACTGTATGTTACTTCATACACCTGCAGGCCTTGTAGCAATTGTGTGAGATGGAGTAGTGAGGCACTCTCAAAGGCTCAAGGCTAATTCAGCACCTGACACTAGGATGAAAAGAGTGCAGTTTACCTTAATCGACATGGGGGATGCCCGTGATGTAATATGACTTTACAAATCTCAAGCTACAGCTCAATAATCAAAGCTGTTTTCAAGCGGAAACACTGGATGTACTTTGGCGTTGACTAAACTCAGCACATGTGAACGCTTTCTTGGCAGACTCTCTGAGCACTGCTAGTGCCGTCTCCTCTGATTATCCCAAAGAAACTGAAACAACTAGTGTGAGAGATGAAGGTGAGTGACTGCAGATCAGGAAGACAGAGAGACAGGTCATGTGTAAAACTGTAGATCTTGCGAGTATTGAACTCTCGCCCCTTGTAGACTGATAAGGTGGCTGTTAAAAACGTACTGTCTAACATAATGAACATTGCTACTGTGACATAACCTCCTGGTCTGTTGACTCCTGTTTTGAAGCCTCGGGTTGGGCACTTCAGCAGTCACCATCTTGGTTTTTTGGAGCCAGAGGTGACCATATTTTGACGAGAGAGTGGAATTGTGGAGGAGCAATGGGCGAATCTGATTTATAAGCCCCTTTTACACTGCCAGATTTTCCGCAAATGTTGGGCCGTTTTGCCGGCAAACTGCGAGCGTTTAGACACACAGAGCCGGATTGGCGAGTTGATCCAAGGTGCCCAATTTTCCGCCTCGTAGGGTAGTCATATTGGCGGAACCTTTTTGGTTTAAAAAGAACAAGGCGCCCCTCTGCAACAGGAGGGGCTGTTGATGACTTGTGGGAGGAGCTGTTGTTGACACGGCACGTGCGACCCACTGGCAGTGGATCAACAGGAAACAGCTGATAGCAGGAATGAGCAGATAGTTATAGTAGCAAGAGGGAAACACAAACCTGACAGACACTGTAAAGATGAGCAACTGGAGGGACAAAGAATTGCGCGCTCTCCTTGTCCTCGCAAATGAAGAGGCCATTAACTGTCAGATGACGGGGACGGTGAAGAACGGGCCAACTTATGAGAGAATCGCCGAAAGACTGACCGGCCGCGGCTTCCCTTGGAGCAAGGCTGTTTACGTCACACACTGAGCTACACGTTTTGTTACTTGCTCACGCCCCCCATTCCCCCAAAAAAGGCACATTCTGTAAGAACAAAAGTAGGCAGGCGGCATTTTGCTGCACTCCCCGATTTTGTTTTTATCCTGCCAATGCTGAAAGAAGATTGATTGGGCTTTCCTGCAAATTTGCACAATTCCTATTTAAAAAGGGCTATAGGCTGTGATGATGGCTCGCAGACAAATTATGTGGCATATAATATAATATGATCACCTTCACCTTTAAAGATCTATTCTCTACCACCTCCCGAAAGAAAAACTTGGCTTTTTAGCCTTCTAAATGCTCCACTATGTTCACCTGCTGGTCGCTAACTGTGTCTGCCTGCTGTTTGGTGCTGAGCAGTTAAAGTACAGTGGGTTTTCAGAGCTTTTTTTCTGAAAATAACGTTATGAGAGCAGTGAGAGTGAACCAAAATACTAAGTAGCGGGGAGCTGCAGAGTCATGTGATAACTGTCGACAGGGTCATCAGTACAAGTGATTCATCCAGCTAACTAATTTATATGTTAAAATGTAACTGGACAGGCACCAGGTGTAAGTGGTAAGACAAGTAAAATGACTAAATTCACCCCCAGTAGAGTAGGCAAGAAACCACAGTTTTCTTCACAACTGACTGAAAAAGACAGAAGTGCATACTGCGGTGTTTCTGAAACATAAGAATGAAGCACATAAACAGGCCAAAGTGAGAATCTACATATAGCAAGTCAAGGCTAACGCTAGTGTGCTTCAAAGTCTGATACCTTTACCCTTTAAAAACCTCCCACGCACATTCACTCAACTCAGCTTCCCTCAGAAAAGCAGCTGACGGCAAAACCACAAGGAGGAGATCTGATATCCTGCTTTCTGTACGACCCCAACACCCCAAACAACCAAACACACACACATACACACTCTCTCTCACACACACACACACACTGAACCATACAGGTGAATGAGATAAGATGCTTTCTGAGGTTAAATCTGAATTCCCTTCAGCGGCATTAAGCTTTGAAACACATCTCCATCATGCATGTGTACACATACACACACATACACACACACACACATAAACTTAAGCCCTCTGGCGAGGCATTCAGTCAAAGCCAGCGGCGTGCCCACACTTGCCCCTGTCTCCCCTGTGCCTCCCACTGTACAGGCAGTGCATGAATAGATCACACATGCTGCTTTCTGCCACATCTTATTTTTCCTGTTGTTTCATTCTGCATAATTTATTTTCTTCACCTCCATCACAAAAACACAGGTCTTAAGAATAAGGAAGCAAACAGCTGGTGGAGAGCAACAGGTGGTGTCTGAGCTTAGAAAGTCTCACGTGATTGGACAGTAATGTCAATGACATTTGTGTGATTTTCTCCGAAGGCAAGGAACATTTTCACCGGCACAAACATGCATTACACACACACACACACACACACACACACACACACACACACACTCACACACACACCAACATGAACTTGTGACAATAATTACACTAACACTAACATGAGTCAACTAGCATCAAAATTGAATTCCTGATTTTATGTGAGTGTGTGTGACTGTGTGCCCAGGCTCGTGTCACTATTGGCCAGAACAGACCAGCCAATCTGTGAACACACACACACACACAGCGATCTGGCTAATTGCCGTCACAGAGTTTAAAGTCACAACTCAGACTCATTAAACCTGCATGTGACAGTCGACCATCCATCACAAAACCTACTCCTGTGATATAAATAGAAGTCTGTGAAGCCAGCAGCAGCATCATTCTTCAAAAACAGATCTAGTCCCAGTACTGATGAAAACTAAGAAGTGTCACATGACCAATTTTGGAGCCAGTATTCCATATTTATTGTGTATAAATGTTGACCCCTCATGAGGATGCAATTATTACGACCTATGACAGTTTCAATCTGATGTTTCTCCTGAAATGTTGCATTTGAAAAAGCTCTTCATTGATTTTCCTCCGTCTGACCTGCTACTTCATGAGTTTTGTAACATTTTTTGTCAAAACTTAAACTGTAGATAACTCCTGTTTTTGCATAATCACACACTGTGTACAAACACAGTTTTAAGTAGAAATCTAATCAAGCATCAGTAGTGGAAACCCCTGTGTGAGTGGACAACAGGTGCCTTAAGAAGTCCGAAAAAAAAAAAAATGAAATGCCATCAAACAAAAGAGCTGTGTCCAAAATCACTCACTTGTTCACTCACTAGCTACTGCCTGTGCAGGAAACCTAAAGGGACAGTTCATCCAAAATTTAAAAAAAAAAAAAAAATCCTCATACCTGTAGTCTATTTATCAGTCTAGATTGTTTCGGTGTGCGTTGCAGAGTGTTGGAGATATCAGAAATAGAGATGTCTGCCTTCTCTCAACTATAATGGAACTAGATGGCGCTCAGCTCTTGGTGCAGTTAGCGCGTGCAGTTTGGTACAAAGAAAATAGCTCCTACATGCAAATGCTCACAACAAGCTTTGTGAATCATCCTGAGTTAATTGCAATTTTAGCATCTATATAATGCAGCACATTGCATTATGGGATTGTTAGCAGAGGGTTGTGTTCATGCAGACACTCAAATAACTTGACGGAGGTTAATTATATTAAGTATTCAGGAAGAGGTGAGTGATTTCAGACTGAGATTAGGTCTTTTTCACCGCAAACATTTTGACTTATCTCAGGAAAAGCACAGGTGTTGATGATAACGTTACTGATGGCTCTTTTCTAGTCATGTTAACCAGCAATCCATTACAGTCTGACTGAGTCAACATGCACAACACCTCCACCCTGAAACTGAGGCAGCTAAATGGAATACAGCTTTTTTATTTGATACTTTACACACGTTTTTTTGCCTACACTGACATGTCAAAATATCTGCTATAAATCCAAATCAGCTCATCTAGTGATTCATCTAATTCTTTACATATAATAAGAGTTTGGATGTTGTGGCATTTACTATGTCTTGCTACTGTGGTGCTCCGAGTGGGGTTGCAGGAAACAATCTAAAGCTTTTTTCTAAACACTGTAGTCAACTCTTCAAGCTTCCTCCCACAACACAGGTGACTTTTGCAGAATAAAGGGAATAAACAGCAACAATAAACACCATGAAACCTCAAACCGAATCTTCGTTTAGCAACTTTTATCCTGTACGTCATTATTTAAAGGTCCAAGTTGCATTGTTTGAACTATTTTACAAATACACAGTAAAGGATGTATTTAACTTGCAGATAAAAGTAAAAAAAATGTGTTCTTTATCCAATGACTGTAATCAAAACTAGCCTTGCCCGCATCATAAAAGCCTTTAATATTTTAAATTTAGTTGCTAAACACTTATTCATCTAGTGTTTGGAAGTGACAACAGGTTACAAACCTGTAGTTTTGAATTTTGGTGGCAGGGCACACTTTTTATTTATATTTAAGTTACAGATTTGAAAGCACTGAGTATCAGGTATTGAGCCATAGCTGGAAAATGATACGTGCAGTGTGCAGTTTGTGTCATGTCTTACCCCGAGCATCTTGTAGAGGTAGTGATACTGCTGTCCAGTGGAGTACAGCAGGAAGGTCTTCAGGAACAGCCAGGTGTTCACTCCCAGCCAAAGCATCTACACACACACATACACACAGCACAGGATGTACAGTATAGTTTTATATTCAATATGAGGACATTTTCAACACATGGGAATAGAAAATACTCCAAACAGCATCTCTAATGTTCTCTGTTGAGCTGTCATGAGCATTTTATTTAGCCTACATATATTAACATTTGATCTTAAAGCACAATATAAATCCATGGCACATAATGGTTGTAGGCTGTATGGATACAGCACATGAAGTACAATAAACTCATTGCACAGCATTGACAAACTGGCAAACAGTGAACTAAGCACCTCCTCGGGATGAAAGTTGAACTTCGTGAACATAATGTGCAAACTGTCTTGGAAAAATACAGGTGTAGCAACAGTTCGTGAGCATGTAAAACAAACATATTCATGAACGATATGAGTGGAGCCAAGCATGTAAAATCTCTCGACAAAAGTTTCCCCACCAGGACCAAGTGCTTTCCTCCCTCGTTGGCGACCCAGCTCCGCACAGACACAACCATGATGCCTTCACTGTCCCAGCGGCTGCCCAAACTTTTCCCACCAAAGCCTCGGTGTGGCTGAGAGGCAAAGACTCGTCCTTTCTGCAGCTCTGTGTCTATGTCTCTGTGTGCCTGTGTGCAGCGTCCACAGACCGGCCGGTGTCTGCTCCGTCCCCCCTGCACCCCTCTCCGCCGCCGCTGCTGCTGTGTGCTCTGAGCGCAGCTTGACTTTTCATCCCCCCCCCACAAGTCTCAGCGATGAAGAGCTCCGTGTCAAACTATCTCCTCATCTCCTGTCGGTTTGCTCTCCGACAGGCCTGAACGTTAAGTGTGCAGCGTCGTTAAAACATCTTGAATACAAGTTACTGTGGGGAGAGCAGAGTCACCCAACAAACGGACTGGAGAACAATAAACACCGCTCCACACTGCTACTCTCCGTCACTAGAGGGCGCCATAGTCTCACAATGAAGTGCACCCTCACCTGTGACTGCCATAAAAGGTTTTCCACTTGCGCGAAACCACCATGGCAGGGGCGTAAATATAAACACTGCAGGCAGGGCAGTTGCACTGGGGCCCATTGGGTGAGGGGGCCCATAGTTAGTGGGACCTCGAACAATATCTTCTAAAATCTGTAATTTAGATTGCCACCTTAGAAATATGCCAGAGTTCAAAGAAAAGCATTTAATAAAAAATGCTGCTATGTGCGTTAAATGACTTTGAAAAGGCAAACCCACCTCTGTCATGGTTTTCTTTCTTTTCTTTTTGTAAAATATCCAGTAGCAATCTATGGCAAAATATGTTACGCTACATAAACTACAAATATTATGTAAACTGTTAAAAAAAGGTACAAAAATTAATTAAGTTAAACAAATAATTCCTTATTTTCTTTGGTATTTTTCTCCTATACATAATGCAATTATGGTTTGTGGTTGATATGTATGTTGTTGTTTTTTTCATTTCATTTATTTTTATTTTATTTATAAGGACAACACACATTAATCAGCGTATTCTATTAATGTGCCAGTGTTAGCCAGCTGGCTAATTTTCAACTGCAGTCCTGCAAAGAGGCATAAAGACAGCATTAATTGCTGTAATTAGGAACTGTCAAGATGAAACAGAAGCCATGCAAAGCAACAAGCATCGGTACAATACAATAACACAACAACAACAACGAACAGCATGTTAGCACAAATACACAGATTAGCATTCAGACATGCAGAGCAGTGGTCGAAAGTGAACACAGATGAAACACAATAGTCATTATGTATGGTCATATGCACTAACACACAAGCCATGCGACAGAAAGTTAGCCATGCTGTTAATAAAATAGATATTGCACACATACAAATGTGAAATAACAACAACAGTGTTTCTGTGAGCAATGTACTGTATTGATTAGAAATGCTCACATGTCTGACTGTTCAATAACCAGGTCTTGAGCCTTCATTGGAAGGTGTGATAGATGTTAGCGTTTCTTACTCAGATGGGAGTTTGTTCCATAGTTGAGAAGCTCTGACAGAAAAGCATGATTGGCTGAGGGAGCTGGACCTGAGAGGGATTACACAGTCCCATCTCAGTGCAGACCTTGTGGATCTGGAGTTTTTCTGTTTAATAAAAGCGCTGAGTGGTGAAGGAGCCTTGGCATTTCATATTTTAAACATCAGGCAGATGTCAGTGTATTTCATTCGATTTTGGATGTCATGTTTATCAAGAATTTTGCAGTGATGATGTGTATTGGGTGTTCTGTCCAACACTTTGAGAGCCTGCTTGTAAACCAAGGGACTGGGCTTCTTTGTTATCCAGTGTCAAGTCTCTATTTGATCATGTGATGATAAGATTATATGGTAGATAGTTTAGGCTCATAATGAGAACTAGCGTGTCTTGGGGTCTGTCATGACACCATGCGCTACTGTGGGACCCATTGTAACTACTTTACACCACTGCACCATGGGTTACTGAAGGGCTCATTGGACACAGGTTTTGGGGCCCAAAGTGTCAGGTACCCCCCCTGGCCTTCACCTGCAAAATATCACTCAAATTATTACTTAAAAGCCAGATAGAGACTCAAAATGACCACATAGAGATGCAAAGGAGCTGCAGAGACACAAAATGACCACAAAGGGACACAAAATAACCTCAAGGAGACACAGAACTACAAAATCAATGCGTAAAGATTACAGAGATGCAAAACAAAATATAAAAAAAGAGACAAAACCAACACCAAGTCTGTGTGTCTGGCTCCTATGTAAAAGAGGTGGTGAGACCTTTTGCATATCTGTGCCCAGGGGACCATTGTCTGATAATCTGGCCATCACTGAAAAGGGTCACTGTCTGCATTATTAATGATTAATAACCATTACTAATGCTTTATAAATCAGTTAAAAGGCATTATTAAGAACTACTATTGGGTTGTGAGGTTGTGACAGGTCAGGCCATTTGATTACTTAATTTCTGTTTAAGGCTGCATACAAAATGGGCCAAAATCAATTTACTAACATCTTATTAACACTTGCAATTGCAGTTATCATGATTGAAACCCTTTGCTAATAACTTATTAACATTTATAACTGCAGATTTGATGCCTTATTAGAAAGTGTGACACTGACTTATAACTGCTCTATTAACAAAAATTAAAGTGTCAACACCTGCCAAAGGGGACACAAAATAGTTATTATGTCTTATAACTGAGCCATAGAGCATAGATGATTTAATTAAATACGCAGTGGTTACAATTTATTAACCCTAAAGGATACCATATTAGGAAGTGACCTCAAAGTGGAAAAGGCAGCATAATCATTGCTTCAAAAGTGTAAATGTTTATTTCTGGCATATGTGTTAATCTCTGATATTGCTTTATAGTTTCAACATTTGTAGATTGATTACCCAATCTTTTGGGGAAATAAGCCACATGACTGCAAGTTTACCTCACAAGTGTCCCAAGTACTGCACCATGCCATCTCTGTGAGCTGTTGGCGCCATCTTGTGTCTGCAGTAAGAAATGCAGCTGAAGCTGTGGATGAGAGAAGATTTCTATTGGACCAGAGGTTTATCTTGAAATATAGGACAATGCAAACACATATTCATGCTGGAGAAAATAAACATGAAAAGAAAAATAAAGTAAAGGTGTGTCTACATGACCTCTCAGTCCAAATAAGTCACTAACCAAATCACTAACTGGACACGAGCTTCCACAACTCAGGGTAACCTTAATGCTACAACATTTTTTACACAATATATTCTTGTCCCTAGCGATTGATAAAACAGTCTCACTTTAAGGTCTATTTAGCATCCATTTTTAATCATGTGAGTTTTTAATGATGCTCCAGAACAGCTATTAAAAGGACTTTGAGATATGAGATTGTTTTATCGGTTATAGATCCATACAGAAATGGCTCGGAGTTTGGTTTGTAAGAGTTTAACTGGCCTGCAGAGAGCCCTGATCTAAACCCCATTCTGCATCTTCATGATGAAGCTGTGGGCCAGGTCTTACCAGCCAACGTAAGTGGTGAATACACTTCAGGCTGAATGGAAGCAAAACCATGCAAACATGTTCCTAGATCTTGTGGAGAGCTTTTCATGGAGAGAAGAGGCTGATATAGCAGCATTATATTGTATATGGATTTTAATTACAATAATGTACAAAAATCACAAAATTTGGTTCAGTCTTTATTACCTGACACACTTCGGCCTCCGTACACAATATGTGTAATGTTTGATATCCAGTTTTTGTACCCCTGCGTTCACCCTTGGGGGTACCCCACCTATAAAGGGGTGTCTCCCACCTTGCCTCTCCCCTTTTGCTGTTGTGCTCTGTGGGAGAGGGGCTGGAGTTTGCCACTAAGTTTGCCACTTGCTGTCAGGAGAGGAATAATGTTTTGCTTTCTAAGGAGTGGCTGCAAGAGGATCTTCTGTAGTAAATTTGTGTCTCTTGGCAGTGTGCTTGTATCTCGTTGTGGACTTTCCGTGTCTCTTTGTGGTCATTTTGAGCCTCTTCCTGGTCGATACATGTTGTTTGAGTGACATTCTGCAGGTGAAGGCCAAGGGGGGGCCTCTGACATTTTGGGCCCCTGGGCCTGTACTCAGTTGGCCTGTTTAGTAATCCATCCCTGCATGTTACTTCCATCGTCTTGGGCAAAAGTTTTGTGAACTTAAAAAATTTGCTCGTGATCTTAGGGTAGGAAAGCTAGTTAGGAAAGGTTAGGAAAGTTAGGTTAGGAAAGAGTTAAGAAAACTTTAACCTTAGTTACATTTTATTGCCAAAGGAGGAGTCCTGACATTCCTGGATTAGTTTACTTCCTCAGTGGAGCAATTCTTGGGGAAAAAATGCTGAAAAAAACAAGCAAGAGGTCAACATGTGATATACCAGATACATGCTGGACTTTGAATCTCACAGCTGTCCTGACTTTGAATCCCACGCACGTCATTTCATAGTGTAAAAATAATAAAATCTATATTGGTTTTACTGTAGGAGAAATTAGGCACCCAAACAACACCCCCATACCTGCTCAAGGCTGCTGATTCAATGAAAGTTTTCTCTCCAGATAAACAGTGTGCTGAGGATGAGGCAGAGCTGTGGTCTGTGTCCTCCACACATTCCTGAGGGCCTCCTCTATGCTCACGCTCCAGCCCACCGCATGAAAGAGCCGTCGTTCAGCCCACACAGCTGTTCACAGGACCAGGAGGGGTCAAGCACAACCGAGGCCTGCATGTTTTATGGTGTGGGAAAATACGTCTGATTATATTCACCGGTGCAGTAACTTGAATTTCCTCCTGAAGAGAACCAAACTTTAATAAACTGACTCACTCCATACCAACATGCCCTCTTCTGTAAGACTGTTTATTGGTGTTTGTTGTTGTTATTGTTATTTGATAAGAAGTTTTGATGTCTGACTGAAGTTAAACAAGGGACACACATATTTACATATATGGAAACCTACTTCTACTAGTAAAAGAATAAAAGGTGAAAAGATGTGTATGATAGTTTTCATACGAATAAAGTGTCTGCACTAGTGTTAATGGGTTACAATTTCTTATCCATCAACCTTCTATATCCAGCTATACTTTAGTGGCAGGTGAACATGTTTACTTCAGGTAGGACACTACAGGTGAAAATATTTTTCATGCACGGGTCAATTTTAAGATTTCGGGCTATTTTGCCTTCTTTCTGACTATAACAACCAAAATCCACATTTAGGTGTTACATTTAGTTCAGAAGTTTGTGCAAAAGGTGCATATTAAACCAGATATTGTTTCCTTTGCATATTTAAACATAAAATTTCAGAAAACTTTGTGGTCGTATCATCATCAACTGATCACTACCTGGTGGTGAGTTGGATCAGACAGTGGGGGAGGCTGCTGGACAGACCTGGCAAACTCAAACGT